CCACCCCTCTCTCTCTCTCTCTCTCTCTCTCTCTCTCTCTCTCTCTCTCTCTCTCTTTGCCATCCTCTGTCTTTTGTGGGCATATCTTCTTTTGTGAGGCAATATGTTCATACAGTGACTTTTGAGTCTTTCTTGCCTATTAATCGTATGTCAGGCTGTTACGAAGGCAAAATTGGGTTATGATCCACTAGAAGTGAATCCAGAAGACATGGTTCGCTTTGCAAAGGAAAAGCCTCAGGTATGGATCGGAAACACATTACATTTTCCCAAGATTGTGCATGATCTTCAGAATTAAGAAAGTGTTATGGCGTTAGAGTTGAGGATTACGACTGACTACTTTGTATTTTTAACATTCCGTTTTTTAGAGCTTCAGCTACTCTTTCTTGTGAACATGTAGTGTGCAAATATTTACAGACTAATGTATATTACGACTGAAACACAGCCTTGAGGATCGTAACGGATTCATTTCTTGAGTAGCTTTGAGTTGTGATTTTAAGGCTTGTAATGCAAAGCATTTGATGCTTATATCTTCTGTCTACCCTTGATGGATGTCACTTCACAGACTATGGCCTCCTATTCTGTCTCCGATGCTGTTGCAACTTATTATCTGTACATGACCTACGTTCATCCCTTCATTTTTTCTCTGGCAACTATCATTCCGATGGTCCCTGATGAGGTTTTACGCAAAGGAAGTGGTACCCTTTGTGAGATGCTTCTGATGGTTCAGGTAAATTCTTGTCTGCTACAATGTCTTTAGCCATTTTCTAGTGCGCAATGCTTTTCATTAATTGGGATTTCTTTTTCTAAGCACAGGCTTACAAGGCAAATGTTATATGCCCCAACAAACATCAGGCTGACTCTGAGAAGTTCTTTAAGAATCAACTTCTTGAAAGTGAGACTTATATTGGTGGGCATGTAGAGTGCCTCGAAAGTGGTGTTTTCAGATCTGATCTTCCAACCAGTTTTAAGCTGGATCCGTCAGCTTATGAGGCAAGTAACGGGCTCTATGCTTATTCTGAATGATGCTGATAGGACTTGTGCTTCTCTAACTTTATATATCTTTTGAATTGTTTCATGTATTTCTGTTTATATGTGATATTTTCTTTATTTTATAGTCTAAAATAGTGTAGTTCTGTACAAACAAATCTAGCCAGTAAAGTGCTTAGAAACGCAGCCCTTTTACAGTTCACCTACCTTCTCTAAATTAAATATGTAATCACTAAAGGCTAAAGATGCCTGCAACATAAGTATCTCCATAGTTTTCCAGTCAAATCTACTGCAGCTATATATGGATTACTGGTCTGATTATATAATTGATTTCCAGCAACTGATCGACAATCTTGATCGTGATCTGGAATATGCTATTACTGTCGAGGGAAAAATGGACATGGAGTCAGTTTCAAACTATGATGAAGTGAAGAATGAAATCAAACAAAAGGTGATTAAGTACTCTTCTGAAGCAGAGTTGTCACTCTCATGTATATGCCCCTGTGTTCAAGTTTTGGCTGTGGTGTTTTTCTTGTCTCCTATTTTGGCTATTGGGAAGCTCAACTTATATATAAGAGTTTCATGCAAGGAGAGTTCACCTATACATTTTCTTGCATAATTATGAGTGTCGACCTTATCTAATCTAGTGCAATCCTAGAAAGCCCATGTTGGTATTATGTATTAAGTGCTTAACTGCTTTGCGCCCACCAAAGAAATCTGTCTATCTTGAAAGTATTTTCCATGTGTAAGGCATTGCTGTCAGCGAGGAACCTGCTTGCCTAGGTACTCGTATAAAAGAACAAAAGACCTGATAGATTTAGTAGTTTTTTCCCTTCACTAAATATGTTTTGGGGGGTTAGTTTAAATTCTCTCCTGATTTTGTGGATTTGATTATGCAGCTTGAGAAGTTACGAGATGACCCTATACGGGAAGAGGGCCCTCTTATTTATCATCTTGATGTTGCGGCAATGTATCCAAATATCATCTTAACAAACAGGCTTCAGGTACATTTGAATTCTCTTTAAATAATCGGAATACCTAATGTTCTGAATTGTTTCTGATTGATTCCGGACATCATGATCCTTGCATATGCTGTTGCATGGAATTGTAAATGAAGAACACCTATCAGCGATTGCTAGTTGTTGCCTGCTTTTAGAAAATCAGACTGCACCCCTCGCAATATTATTTTGAACCCCTCAGTAAGTTTTTCAGTTATGTTTTCACTTGAATTTCAGCCACCGTCCGTAGTTACAGATGAGGTCTGCACTGCATGTGATTTCAATCGCCCTGGAAAGACGTGTCTACGAAAGCTTGAATGGGTTTGGCGTGGAGAGATATTCATGGCAAAGAAAAGGTTTATTTCAAAGACATTTTCCAGCTTTTTCGGGAATACCAATGTTATGATCTTTTCTGAATTTTGTTTTAAATGGTTTTGCAGTGATTATTATCATCTGAAAAAGCAGATTGAGTCTGAATTTGTTGATGATGGTGTCAGCGGTCAGTCTTCTAAATCTTTCCTTGATCTGCCAAAGGTGGAGCAACAATCTAAGCTTAAAGAGCGGCTAAAGAAATATTGTCAAAAGGTATTTATTCTTCCTGTCTGGCATGCTAATTTCTGCATGTGTGATGTGAATATATCAGTTTGTTATGTGGCATTCCTCAGGCATATAAACGAGTTCTAGACAAGCCCATTTCCGAAGTTCGTGAAGCTGGGATATGCATGAGAGAGAACCCTTTTTATGTGGACACTGTTCGCAGGTCAGTGACTTGTTTTTTCCTTCAGACTTCAGTCGGTTCTAGACAAAGTGGTGGGCATTAGCCAAATCTTTTTTTTTCAGGAAGTATATGTAGTCAAAACCTGATTTCTTTGGCAAGTGTAACTTTTTGTACCGATTCTGTTTTATTTGTTGTGATTGAAGCTTTCGAGATAGGAGGTATGAATATAAAACTCTTAATAAGATCTGGAAGGGAAAGTTGTCGGAGGCCAAGGCAAGTGGCAATTCTATCAAGATCCAGGAAGCGCAAGTATGCCACATTACTTGCTAGCTGAGATATATTTAATCTACATAGCTACATTTACAGTGGTTATTGACATTCTGAGTGTTTTTCACAGGATATGGTAGTGGTTTATGATTCCTTGCAGCTAGCTCATAAGTGTATACTTAATTCCTTCTATGGATATGTCATGCGCAAGTGAGTCCTCTGATTTCTCGAAAAGAAGCTAGATTTCTGTTATATTATTACCATGAGTTCTGTTTTGGTTGATCAAGCTTTTGCTTCTACCAATCCCAGAGGTGCAAGATGGTACTCCATGGAAATGGCTGGTGTGGTTACCTACACTGGAGCGAAAATCATTCAGAATGCTCGCTTGCTTATTGACAGGATTGGGAAACCACTTGAGTTGGATACAGATGGTATCTGGTGTTGTCTTCCTGGATCTTTTCCGGAGAACTTTACTTTTAAACTGAAGTAAGATTTCCGGTCTTCATGGTTTACTGTCCCCATGACCCCAAATTCCTTCTAGTTTTAAATTTGTGTTGATTTATCCTGAATTTTCCTCCAGTGTTTTAGTAGGAAATTTAGTTTCCACATTCATTTTAGAGTAGCGATTGCTTGTGGCTTGAACATTAACCATATTCATTTTTGCAGAAACATGAAGAAGTTTACGATCTCTTACCCGTGTGTAATGCTTAATGTTGATGTGGCAAGAAACAATACAAATGATCAATATCAGGTTTGCCGATTTACCCTTTATTTAGGATCTTAATATCGATGTACATTCTATTATGTTGATGATTGTACAATTCTGGAAGTGATTGCCTCTGTCTAGTTTCATTTGTTGTTTGAGTGAAATGATTTTGCCACAGACTCTTGTAGATCCTGTCAACAAAACATATAAGACACATAGTGAATGCTCGATTGAGTTCGAAGTAGATGGACCATACAAGGTAGGTGCCTTGAATTGAATTTTTGAATGTCTTGCTTTATGGTTGCCAGGAATAAACATATGATATCCTTTCCAAACAGGCAATGATTCTTCCTGCATCTAAAGAGGAAGGAATTTTAATTAAGAAGCGGTATGCTGTTTTCAATCACGATGGATCCTTGGCAGAGCTCAAGGGGTTTGAGATAAAGCGTAGAGGTGAGCTGAAACTCATCAAAGTTTTTCAGGTATCCACTTCTTACTCTTGTGTTGTAAATGATATATCAAGAGTTCTGTTTTTGCTATTAGAAACTTTAAGGCTGTGCCTGTGAGTAGTGATATAGTGGGTTTCTGCTGATATGATTGTTCTGTTAACTTTTTCTACTGGCAGTTATTAGATTATGGGTGCAAGTTATTTAGCTAAATTAGAGTCTCTGTTATGGAAAGCTACAATGGTTGTAGATTGCTGCTCAGGTGATCATTGAGTACTAGAAAAAATTCTAAACCTTAATTACCCTCTCTACTCATTGAAGAGAGAAGCCATACAAATCACTTATACATGAGAAAGTAGTATGTTATAGGTGTTTTGCTTATACATCTTCATCTCGTTCAATTAATTCTACATCTATAAAAGCTTATGAGAATTTCTTCAGCTTAATGTAGTTTCTTTTCTGAAGTCAATGATTTTGTTAAAAGAAAAAAAAATCTCACGAATGAAACAACATTTCATTGTAAAAGAGGTAGATAATAATTTGAACAATGAAAATTCATGATTTATTGGAGAAGTAACGCCTTTCTGCTGCATTTTATTCATAGAGTTGTTATCTCGACAGATTACGCTTTAGACAAAAAGTCAAGTCCGCCTTCTTATTAATATTAACTGTTACTCTTTAGCTGAGATGACAGTCAATCAAATAGTTTCTCTTTTCTTTTTTTTTTCTCTTGCAGGCTGAGCTTTTTGACAAATTTCTCCATGGATCAACACTTCAAGAGTGTTATTTTGCTGTTGCTGCTGTTGCAAATCGCTGGCTTGATCTACTCGATGTATGTGAAGTCATTTGATACTTCTTCTTGTTGAGCTAAATTCATAGCTACTGAGCAACTTAGCTTTTACACCATTCGTATAGGTGTCACTAGCTTCTCATAATTTAAGTTTTCCTCTTATTTCTTTCAGAGTCAAGGAAAAGATATCGCAGACAGTGAATTGCTAGATTATATATCAGAATCGAGTACAATGAGCAAATCTTTAGCAGATTATGGTGAGCAGAAGTCATGTGCCGTGACCACAGCAAAACGCCTTGCTGATTTTCTTGGTGATACAATGGTCAAAGATAAAGGATTACGTTGCCAATACATAGTTGCTTGCGAACCAAAGGTACATTTATACTTAAGTAGAGATCTCTACAAACACTTTTTCTCCCTCTTTGGCATCTACTCTTTGAGGACTGTTAACGTTTGCTTCCCATTAAAAGCTCTTTCACGGAACTATTTATACATTAGGTGGATGATTGAACCTGTATTTGCGTTGAGTACATATTAAGAAACATCTCATGTTGCTTATATGTGCAAGTTCTCTTTGCTATGCATGTTGTTTATATACAAGTTCGCATGTTGTTAACACATGCAAAAGTAATTAATTTTTTTAAGCATGTCTCAATTACTTCATCATATTTATCTCATTTACACTGTTTGATAAAATATTTTCTTAATTTTACTACTTTTGCAACTTTTCTATGACTAGGGGACACCAGTAAGTGAGCGTGCTGTTCCTGTTGCTATATTTGAAACTGATTCCGGTAAACATTCTTTCATCTGGTCTGTTTATTTATCATTACTTTCGTAATGGCCAAATGGGACTAAAATTTTCGAGTTTGCAGATATAATGAAGTTTTATTTGCGCAAATGGTGCAAGACATCCTCAGATGTTGAAATCCGTTCCATTGTTGACTGGTCTTATTACAAGCAGCGTCTTAGTTCAGCTATTCAAAAAATTATTACTATTCCTGCGGCAATGCAGAAGGTTTTGTGCCTTTACTGCTTACTTATCTTGTTATGTACTTTCTTCAAGCATCTTAAAGTTTGAGTGGCCTTTATAGGTTGCAAACCCAGTCCCTAGGGTTCTTCATCCCGATTGGCTCCATAAAAAGGTCCGTGAGAAGGAAGACAAATTTCGCCAACGAAAACTAGTTGATATGTTCAGCTCATCAAACAAAGATGACGTGTTGGACACAAATTATTTGATGACTCGAGAGAATGTTGGAGATATCGAGGATTTTCGCAAAGAAAGCAAGCCATCCATTAAGGGGCCCAAGCCAATTGCTCGGTCTTATGAAGTCAGTCATAAACAATCCAACTGTGAGCAACAAGAGAGCTTGCAGAATGATGATATTCCACCTCAGAACATTGACAAGAACGAAGATTACCTAGGATGGCTTGAAAATAAAAAACGAAAATGGAAAGCAACTCTAGAAAAGAAGAAAAAACAAAGGTAATTTTCTGTATGCTGTTTATTCTCTTGAAGTGCATCTTCCGACGAGAAAGAATGCAAAGCGGTATGTAATTCATGTGAATAGATCACCATAGTTCTTTATCTTGGGCTCCATCCTGGAGCACAGGGCAGCCAAAGCTACAAGTGATAAAACATCATAAGCTGTTTTAAGTGGTTTCCTGACTTGGCTGAATTCATATCCCTTAATTTCTTGTTATTGTTACTGACAAAAAGAGTTTTATTTGTAGATTAGGGGATTCAAGGTCTTCAGAGCAAAACAATGCGACAAACCATAGAGTCTCTCAGGGAAGAATTGGTGTTGGTTCATACTTTAGGAAGCCTGAAGAAGCTCTGATACGTTCGCATTGGCAGGTGCGTAGTGTGAACTCTGTTTAGATGATTAATTGGTGAATCGTTTGTGATTCTGTTCTCTCATTTTCTTTTAATTTTTCAGATAATTCAACTGGTTCCAAGTTCACAGATTGGGAACTTTTTTGCTTGGGTGGTTGTGGAAGGAATGATGCTTAAGATCCCATTGACTATTCCAAGGGTGTTTTACATTAATTCCAAAGCACCGATAGCTGAAAAGTTTCCTGGAAAGCGTGTCAACAAAATTCTTCCTCACGGAAGACATTGCTATAATCTGATCGAGGCATGTGTCTGTCTAACCCTAATACATTGTTGCCTCCGTAGTTCTTTTACTCAGAAGCATTCATAGCTATTTTTTTCTTTCTTGACAGGTTGTAATTCAGGAAGATCAATATAAAAATGAAAGCAAAAAACTTGCAGCCCTTCTTGCAGACCCTGAAATTGAGGTCAGTTTTCTTCTAAGTTTCCAGCTTGAAGCATGGTCTCATGAATCAAGTACCTGTTGCATGCCTTAAAAAAGCAACTCTTTTGCCTAATGTGTGTACAAATATTTTCTGGCATCTTGTCTTGTAGCATTTCATTCTGGCGAGAAGACAGCTTGTGCATTATGTTTGTCTGTACTTGTATATTGGAAATATTATAAACAGAATAAATTTTCTGCCGGCTGAAAAAGTTGACTGCGTCAAGTAACCTACTACTAGGAAAATCCTGGAAATGGAATTCACTTCATATTCATGCATGGTTGCACAGATTATATGTAACTCGATTTAACCTGCATTTATAATTCATCCCAAAGAACTGCTTGCACCCAGTCGGAATTGAACTTCGGACCTAATGCCTTTCCAAGACATAATCTTTGCAATCTGCCTCCAAGCCAACCCCGTGAGGGTTTATTTATATATGTTTACCATGCTCTTTTGTGCATTTTGTATATCTTTTTTTAGCATGCGGAAATAAATCTCTGGAGAAAATTCAGGAAGCATGATCTTGTCATTTGCTCTCTAAGAGTTAATTTTAGAGGAAGAATTTTGACTTTCATTTTGTGTAAAGCAAATATGTGTTTACTTTTTATATTTGGTGCTCAGTAGCCTGACAATTGAATTTGGCAGGGTATATACGAAACCAAGGTTCCTTTGGAGTTTAATGCTGTATGCCAGATCGGATGTGTATGTAAGGCTGATAAGGCTGCCAAGCACCACAATACTCAGGATGCATGGAAACTTAGCGAACTTCATATGAAAACTACAGCTGAATGCCGTTACTTGGAGCCTTCAATTCCTTTTGTTTACTTGTATAACAGGTTGAACACCAAAACTGCTAAGGCACATGATTGGCATCTTCTCTTTTACTATTTTTTTCTGAAACTTGAATTTTATGTCATTCCTTCAGCCATTCTTTTCTATGTTGAAGCAAAAATGTGGTTTTTAAAATGCTATGAGGGTAAACTGTCACAATGCTGCAGTTTTTATATGTCTGCACTGGTATCCGTAAATAAATTTTTTTGCATTTGCAAATTAATTCTCCGCATTTGGATCGCTTGCTGCTTTCTACTACTTTTTGGGTGTGTTATAATTAGCTTAGTTTTTCCAGCCCTTGATGTCTGACCTCAAGGTTTATTTGTGTTGCAGCGTCTCAACAGGACGTGCCATATATGTTGCATATTGTCCTGCATCAAAGGTTTTGTCTTTCGTGGTGGTTAATCCTTATCAAAACAAGGATTTATCACCCTCTATTCTGGAGAGACAGTTTCGAGAAGCATGCCAAGCATTGTCTCCTGATTCATCGTCTTGGAGCGATATTCTTTTCAAGGTGAATTCAACACCTCCAACCCCTGAAGTACGTGTTCAAACATTTTCTCACTTTTGTGGATGCTGATTATCAGGTGGATTATGTTGGACATGTCAGTGATGCCGAGAAGATTATGCAAAGGGCAATTAGTGAATACAGGTCTCTCATTTATCCTGATTATCTTTCAGGCTGGCACGCAGGTTTTTTTGTTTCATTTACTTTTTATATAATTAAGTTTTGGTGTGCAGATAAGTTGGCCATGCTTTTTGTGGTTATTCATGCCTGCAATTATAACTCTAAATGTGTAAAATGTTTCTAGAAATTACTTGCTGGATAACACTCCAATTGGATTCCAATTTTCTAATATGCCCCAGATAAAGAATAAAACTCAGGCTTTCATTGCTAGGTTATGTCATGTCCTCCCACTCTCCTCTGATTGTTCCATTGTTTTCCCGTTTACAGACAAGAAAATGGTGGACCTAATGTTGTAGTCATCGAATGCCCCGACTTTAACTCTTTGAAGGAAGGTATAAGGACACTAGATGATTTCCCATGTGTCAGGATTCCCTTCAATGGTCACGATAACAGTTACCAGGTTCTGTGACTCATCAGCCAATTGGCTACTTTACATCTCTTTTGCTGTGCATCTAGACTACTTCTTGTATTAAATATTGATATATATGTACATTTTTTGTGTTTATAGCCTATTTCGTGGCAACATCCAGCAGCAAAGATTGCAATGCAGCGCTGTGCTGCATCATCTCAGTGGTTAAATGGGAGGATTGCCCTGTCAAGATATGCTCATGTAGGTTTTATTCTAATCTGCAAAAATATTCCCTCGATTATGCTTTTGTGAAATTTTGGCAATTCATGTTCTATTTGGTAGGTGCCTCTGGGGAACTTTGAACTTGATTGGTTAATATTCACAGCAGATGTCTTCTTGTCTAGAGCACTCCGTGACCAGCAACAGGTTCTATCCTTTGTTTTCAGTGTGTGCCAAAATGTATTCATTGTTTGATTCCTACAGTTTTTACCGTGGTTCTCATTTATCCTCTTGCTCTATGCATGTCTCTTCAAACTTAACTTCTTCCAACTTTGATAAAAGACAAGTTTATCTGAAAAGGGTATTTTTGAAAGTCAAGTGCAGCTTTTCACATCCATATTTTGTATAACAGGTCCTTTGGCTGTCTGATAATGGTGTTCCGGACCTCGGAGGCATCAACAATGAAGAGACATGCTTTGATGACGAGGTAAGCCATTGAAATCAATAAGTTCTGCCTAAGTTTTTGTGGACCATGCCACAAATTTTATTCTCTTTAATCATTTTCCCTATAGGTGAATATATACGAATAACAAATGTCTCCATGAAAAATTTCTGTGTTTGACTATCATGGTGATCGATCACTGGTTTGCTTTCTTTTGACATAGGCGCATCAATCAAGTCTGATATACCCTGGAGCATATAGAAAAGTGTCTGTGGAGCTAAAGGTCATGAAAGCCTCTTGTGTTCCTCTTTCTTTTAAACTGTCATACATGTAGATATTTGAATTAAATGAACCATATCATGCAGATCCATCACTTGGATGTTAATGCCCTTTTGAAAAGCAACCTAGTGAATGAAATGGAAGGAGGTTCTTTATTGGGATTTGGACAGGAGATAGATTCTGGAGGAAGTAGTTCAACCGAGAATACTGGTTTCGATGAGGCCATTGCATGCGCTCCTGCATTCCGTGTCCTGAAACAACTGATTCAGAGGTGTTTGACTGACTCGATTAACTCCGGGAACATATTTGCCGATGCCATTTCCCAACACTTGTATCGGTGGCTCTGCAGGTATGTTGCATTTGTTCACATATCCCTCTTTATTCTTGACTTGTTAAACATACTAACCTGTGTTCTCATATTTCAGCCCACGTTCGAAACTTCATGATCCAGCTCTTCGTCTCATGCTTCAGAAGGTAAGTGGTGTTAATGTGATATGCTCTATATCTGGTATCAACTCTGAGTATCTAAATCGCTCCTCGCTTCTTGGTCTGACTTCTATCAAATATGTTATCTACAATTTTTATCCTCTAGCCAGGATACACTAAGTTAAGGTTATTATAAAGCTTAAAGAACCTTAAAAGAAATCTTGGGTTCTGCAAACTACATCCACTTCTTTGCCATTTAAAACTTTGAACCCTTTCTTGACTCTGTGATTGTCATTGGCAATGACAGGTCATGCAGAAGGTATTTGCTCTGCTATTGGCTGAATTCCGGAAATTAGGTGCCACGATAATATATGCAGACTTCTCAAAGGTCATTATAGACACCGGAAAATTCGACTTATCTGCCGCTAAGGCTTACTGTGAAAGTTTGCTCAAGGCAGTCCAGAGCAGGTTGGTTTCTTCCTGATCCACATTGCTCATCTACCTACACCCGGTATGTAGAAGAACAAAACATTCATTTCCCTTTCCCTGATTGTGTGCTTTGCCCCTGACAGAGACCTGTTTGAATGGATTGAGCTTGAGCCATTGAACTTCTGGCATTCCTTACTTTTCATGGACCAGGTTTGAGCTTTTAGTTTTGCTTCTTCCTTTCTCATTTTTTCCATTTTTCTGACTATCCAAACATCACAAACTTTTGTTTGAAATTAAAAATTTATGAAATCGTTGAAGACAGAAAAGATCCCCAAAGAGAGCCGAGAGGAAATGAAAAAGAGAAAAAGTTTGGAACCCTGAAACTAGTATCAATTGGAGAAGTACAAGGATTGAAAAATGATTAAAAGACCACCGAACTCTGATGGTGTTAAATCTTGCAAAAAAAAAACAATTAGTAATCGTCTCTTGATCATCAAAATAAATTTATGTCAGTTAAGCAGGACCAGGAGTCTCCGCTTTAGGGTTCTTGATTCTTTTTCATTTGTCATTCTGGAATAATGTTATGATTTAAACATTTTTCTTTAACATTGTAGTATAACTATGGTGGCATACCGGCTAAGGATGATGAAATTTCACTTGAAAAAGTGGATATTGTCTCGAGCTGGAACATCACTCGAGTTTTACCCGAGGAAATTCAGGTTTGCCAGGCACTTCCCCTTAGACAAAGTTCAGTTTAAGTGATCGGAGATTGTGTAATGCATGAACTTTCGGTCTGTATGCTGATACAATTTGATCAACTGTATACTTTTGCAGGACCGCTTCGTATTAACCGTTTCCAAATTCATATTTGATCCGTGGAAGTTTGCATTAGATCAAAGTGAAAGCAGGGCGTCGATACAGGATGGAAGTTTATGCACTCCCTCTATCTCAATAAAAACAGCAGAGAGTATGGAATCACAAATGGTGGAATATCTCAAGGAAAAGGTATAATCCCATAGCTCTCAAGTGTCGTTTTCTGTACTCATTCGTCGTTCACAGAGTACTGATTCATTGATTTTCTCTTGGCTTTCAGATACGATCCGAGTTTACAGATATGCTGCTTGAAAATGTACGTGATATCATGACACACATGAAGGGGGTAAAAGTCACCGATTCTGATTCAGGAGTTACCAGTAAAGCTCCCAAAGGAGATGCTGCATTGGAGTTTATAAAGCATATCTCTGCTGTTCTTGCTCTTGACCATAATGTTCAGCACCATGTTCTGGTAAATATTTTCAACTGATTCTGATTCTACTTTGATCGATTCATCCCGTTGAACGTCCACAAACCCTTTAAGATTACCCGAGGAATCCTTTGCTTATCATCATCTTTCTCTGAGGCAGGTAATGAGAAAGAATCTGTTGAAGTACATTCGTGTAAGAGAATTTGCTCCAGAAGCCGAATTTCTTGATCCTGGTCCCTCCTTCATCTTACCCAATGTGGTGTGCAGGTACTTATTTACTCCCTTGACTCAAAAAGAAAAGCTCGAGTTTCTCTGTGTTTTCGATTATGACTTCTCTACCTTTGCATCCATTTTCTTCTCCTCACCACTTTGCTTATCAGACCCCAACCCCTTAGCTTCAAATACTCAAACACCCTTAGGATCATAACGCCCGATTCTACTCGATTACGTTAGCTTTCGAGTCATTTTAGCGAAGAAACCTCTCTCGGATTTTCTGTATCTGTATATGGTTGCAGAGGGAAAAACGGTTAAAGGGTCAACCTCGGAACCATAAACATTGAATGGAAGTGCAGTACCAAACACCGATTTTCATGATTAAATGCACATCCTGAATTTTGTTGTACCGTCTTGTTGTTTGTTGCAGCTACTGCGATAACTGCAGAGACCTGGACTTATGCCGAGACCCAGCTCTACTAGCCGAAGAATGGCGATGCTCGGTCCCACAGTGTGGACAGCCGTATGACCGGGAGGAGATGGAGAACAGCCTTCTCCAGATCGTTAGACAGCGAGAACGAACCTACCATCTGCAGGATCTGGTGTGCATAAGGTGCAACCAGGTGAAATCCGCACATCTCTCGGAACAATGCGAATGTGCCGGAACCTTCAGGTGCAAGGAGAGCGGGTCGGAGTTCCAAGGAAAGATGGCCATTTTTTTGGATATAGCCAAACGCCAGAAGTTTCGTCTCCTGGAAGAGTGTACCTCATGGATCCTGAACTTCACGAGTTGTTAATCTAATCTGACTGAGTGAAGAGCTACGCACACTGCAAAGGGCATAAGAGAAAGCAAAGAACTATTTTTCTGCAAGAAATACATAAAAGCAGAGATCTGATTTATGTACAATAGGCTACAGAATTATGTACAAAGCCAAACAATGATCGGCTGAAGTAGCTGACGCTGTTAGAATCTGTATACAAAGAAGTGACTGTAAAATAGAATGCATATTTGCATAATTTGCTATAAAATACCAATACTTGGAATCAACGAGTGACATAAATGGTTAAGTCCAAGAGAGTGGGCTATACATAAATATGGTTCTAGAGTAGATATGGTACAATAAACAATTTATGTAAGAAGATTTGATGATGTTCGTACAAGAATATTTCAGCTTCAGAGGGTCTATAGATGGAACCTAGTAATTTCATATGCGTCGGTATTCATCTCCACAGTCACCAATCACTTGGAGAAGATCCTTACCTTTCTTGGTAACCTCCTGTATGCTTTCGACATCTTCCTCGTCCAGGACCAATGAGAATATAGCGTTTGTCTCTTCGATATGTTCTGCTAACCCAAGCCTCACCCCAATCATCGATCCAGCCACTCCCGGCTGAGATTTCACAAAAACAGATTGTTATGAGACTTAAATGTGATCCGTCAGATTCGTTTCGGCAACATGGCCAAAAATAAGCAATCTTACCTGATCCAATATGTATCTAACAGCGACTGTTGAAATGGAGACTCCGTGTTTCGAGGCTATCCTCTTCAGCGTCTGAAGTAAAGATTGGAACAGATTCCACCCTCCCCATGCGTCAACCATCTGGCAAAAATGATCTCAACCTCTGAAATCTCGTTTTCTTATGAGATAACATGCAAAGTGTTTTTGGAGTTTAAAATCTCACCCTTTTGTACTTCTGGAGGGAGGGGGTATTCAAGCGAGGGCCAGCAAATGGGATAGTTAAGTTGGTGTCCAGGAACTTCTCTGACAGGAGACCGCCCATTACTGTCCCGTATCTGCATTCGGGACAAGGGTTTAACATCAGTCGGTAAAATTTAATATCAACATGAACCAATTGAAATGCGTTTGTACAGAGTGATCAGGATCAAATCAATACTATTCTTTTCCATTTTTTCCCCTAACAAGTTTGGTTAAGTTAATTGCAAACAAAGAAATCAGGCTAAGTGCTCAACAGCATAGAAGAGACTCACGTGATAAGTTTAACTCCTGTTAGCTTGCAAAGCTCAGCCATCCTCTGTCGAGGACGCATATCCACAATTGAATGTTGCACCTAGAAAGAACGTAAATTTAGGTGAGGAAAAGAATAAAGGGCATGCAACATGATGATGATGATCTGAATAAAGGTAGGAAAAGTTCGAACTATAGTTGTGTTTCACCTGATTGCTAACAACAGGGACTCCGTTCTCTAAAATTTTCTGCAGTCTCTCCGTGTCAAAATTTGTCAAAGCAACAGTCTTGATTTTACCTGCAAACATTTCAGTCCGGAAGTTGTACCAAACCAAATAAATAGAAGAACATCAAGACAAAAGAGAAGATATTATATATCCTTGGCTACTTACCTTCTTCTTTTAGATCAGTGAGGTGTTTTAGTGCATCCAGATAACCGGGATTAGCATAGTCCCACCTGTTTCATCAAATAAAATTCTGAATCAATAAATAATCGATATGCAGGATTGCGTTACGAGTGACAACGACTACGGAAGAAGATAGCAAAACTGCCAAAACCTCGTCGAAATGACCAAAGAATGAAAACATCAACTATTAGCCATGCTGTAAGGAATGAAGTGGGGAAGGTTGGCACCAGTGAAACTGAAGCATGTCAAGAGAAGCCACATCCATTCTTTTTCGTGATATGTTAATGTTTTCCCGCACATAACTGCTCGTCATCTTCACAGGAGGAGGAACCCATTTTGTCAAACTGCATCGAAATTAGGCAAGGACATAAACTACCACTCTATCTAGAATGTCGTCCTGCTATAACAGTTTACTAGATCTCTCTCTATAATAGAAGCACGAACTCTTATCATCAATAAGCTTAAAACCGGATTTAAACCAACAATATTTTGTTTATAAGACGAATGTAACTCACTTACCCTCTGACATTTTCCAAGTACTCTGGTGGGCGTTCTCGACGGACCCTATTGATGAAAATGCCGTAAAGATCTTCGGCAGGACCATCTACAAATCAAGAAACAGGCTAAGGCAAAACATTATCTTATTACATTTTCATTTTCTTTTCCTTGGAAAAGTTTATACTACATTTTCATAACCCCTTGAATTCTACTCTATATGTCAATCACTTTGCATCTCAGCTGCAAAGCACTGCATCAGACCCTCCGTTTCATCAATTAATCCGAAACTATTTAACTACAAGATAATCCTTTTTAACTCAAAATTGCTGCAGTTGACTACGTAGTTATCGTTCTCATTCCCAATACAAAGAAAAAGGGTAATAAATGACTAAATACCGCATTGTTTCCATTCCTAAAAGATGTTTGATGAAAATTTGTGAATCCATCTTTCAATCACCAGTCAACCAATGAGAAGGCGCCACGTCACTGAATTCGAATTCGAACGGGTTTCTTACAGTGATCGGCCATGTCGAAGGTGGAGAGTCCGGCGTCGGCGTGGCGGAGCATAGCCTCGACGGCGTCGTCTCTGTCAATCCTCCCCCATCCTCCGCTCGTCTGCCACATTCCGTTCAGAACTCTACATATCTCCAGCGAGTCACTCCCGTTCTTCACCGTCACTCGCCGCTCCGCCTCCACCGCCGCCGACGAGCATCTCACTGAACCGCCACCGCCGCCGAGTCCGCGTCGCAACTCAGTTCGGGAAGACCGAGTCGAGTTTATAGACCTTCCTGATACTGCCGACCACGCGAGGCTCGATGCGAAGACGGGCTGTACGGACACCGCCATGGCGCGGCTTCTCTCGCTCCCTCCCTCCGGTCTCGGATAAAGATGGATGACTCTTCTGTGCTTTCTGGGCCTCCCCTCTGATTGGGTAAACTTCACCAATACACCTTTCCTGTCGCATGTGTATCACCGATACACCTCAAAAATATAACTAATTATCAAATTACAGACTTACCCTTAAAAAACTTGGAAATGTCTTTTCTACCCTTAATGAAACACACGCGTAGGTTAAAATTTTGAGAATGGCGCCGAAATAAAAAGAAAAAAGGGAGAGTTAGGGCTTTTTAAAATCACTTTTCGAAAATCAAAAGACATACGAAAGTGTTGAGAGAGAAACGAAATTTTGTGTGCGAAATCGAGCAAAATGAAGTGAACCTAGCGAGATAGAGTGAAGAAACCCAGAATTAAGAGGAATCTTTGTCTTCGTCTGGTGAAAAGGTCCAAATCGGAACGACGCATCTCGGTGATCGGAAAAACAAATCCATGGAGGAAAATGACAGAAGATTCTTCTGCCCATGTTGATGTGAGTATTTTGGATGAGTTTTTTTTTTCGAATTCGTTTAGATTATCTGAAAAATTGAGAAATATTCTGTGCGTATATTAATTAGTCTTATTCGCAACTTAGAATTACAAAGTTGTCATCTAAAGTAGTAGTAGATGCCACTAAATATTATATAAATATATGTAAAATGAATTAGTCGTAATAGTATTTGAATATGTATACTAGTGGCTAATGCAACTGAATACATTTATTTTATTGCAGAGCGAGATGGAGATCTACCGAAACCAAAATCTGGATCCAGTTTGTGCATAAAAAAACCAAGCACAAGAAGTTGTATATGCTACCAAAAACAAGTTGTAAATAAATAGTAATAATTGTAACAAAAAAATAGTATCAATTGTAACCAAATTAATTGAAAAAACTACATAGACAAATTAGAACGAATATATTTAAAATTTTGAAAAGTGTGCCTATTCAAGAAAAAAAAGATGAAATCGAAATTAATTTAAAAAGTCATGTGGACAAATTAAAACGAAAATATTTAAAAATATTTTCAATATATATATATATTTTTAAATTCAAATGTAAAAGTGTATTTTAGATATTTTATGTATAAGGTTATTTAAGTCATTTTACCTAAATTAGGGTGTAGAATCTGATAAAAAAATATTTTAGATTTTGAGGGTGTATCGACGAAAGTTGCGACGCGCGAAGGGTATTGCTGAAGTTTACCCCCTCTGATTCTCTGAATATCTCCGAAGGCCCAAATTACTTTTTTACCCTTCAGGCTTCTTCGGTAAAAGACTGTTTGGCCCAGAAAATGTTAGAAAGAGAAAACAATTTTCAAAGACAGCCCTATTATTTTATTTTCTTTCACATTTCGCCAGTTTAGTTTATTAATTACCCATTGCGCCCCAACTTTCATTCTCGTCCTTGTTGCATATAAATATGGAATAAAATCAGGTAGTTTTAAGTATATTCATAAAGCATTCTCTAGACGTTACAGTTCATATGTCATTTCAAAACCTCATATACATCAAGTAAGAGAGTAGTTGGGAACATAACTATTTTCAGACCATTTTTTTTTTCTATTTACTAAAGTGGATTGAATAAAACATAATCAAAATAAAAGTAGATTTGGAGGCATACATTATTTTTCAAAAGCTAACTAGATAATTTTAAATTAAACCATTTTAAAAATACCAATTGGCATTATAGAATTAACGTTTCTGTGATTAAAAGTTTCTCTAATGGGATGTGATGAAAACCCCCGTATTCTATTCACACGATATGACCGGCTTTTTTATCAAGTTGAATAAAGTCGGGTGATTTATTTATCTATCATATGGATATACATAGAGCACATGAAAGCATATGAAAATAATCATATGATTATGATATAAAGTTTCAAAACTTTATAACCCAAACAATATTATTCAAGGTTATTCAATCGATCTATGCATTTCCTAATCGATTTCAGTCCCTATAAAAACTATTCCGACAAAACGAATATTAATTATCATACACACACAAACACATACATATATATATAGCATATATATAATAATATGCTCGAATCCAGTGGTTGGTCCAATTTCAAATTGATACGGAGAGCCAAAATGCATCTTTGGTTAAAAATCAATCGGCGAGATAAAAGGTGCTAAGGTTCAATGGAATGATAAGGCGAAAGTTTGACATATACCCACCAATTGATGTATGCATCCAATCCCACCAAACGAAACTTATCCAAAATAAAAACTCTCAAAATAATCTATAACGTATTTGAATACATTTGGGTTGAGATATTGAAGTTTAACAAATTATATTTATTTTTCCCTGATCTTTGATTTAAATCAGACGTCAGAATTTGAACGAATGCGTATCAATATTAATAAAAAAACAAATACACATCTCTATTCTTACTGACCTCCGTTTTCCCGCACCTTCCTCTCACGCACAAAAAAATGTTCATCTTCATCACCATCTTCGGTTTCTTCGCCATCTTCTTCCTCCTCCGAACACTCCGCCTGCAAAATCTACGACACTGCAACTGCGAAATCTGCCATGCATACATCACTTCGAGCTGGAGAAACGACTTCGACAACCTCTGCGACTGGTACTCCCATCTTCTCCGGCGATCTCCGACGTTGACCATCCAAGTCCACGTCCTCAACAACGTCATCACCGCAAATCCCGATAACGTCGAACACGTCCTCAAGACCCGTTTCGACAACTACCCTAAAGGCAAGCAGTTCTCCGACATCCTCGGAGACCTCCTCGGGCGCGGGATCTTCAACTCCGATGGAGACACGTGGCGCTTCCAGAGGAAACTCTCCAGCCTCGAACTCGGCAGCGTCTCCGTCAGGATCTTCGCTCACGACATCATCAAGAACGAGATCGAGATGAGGCTTGTCCCTCTCTTGAACTCTTTCGGCGATCATGGTCTTGATCTTGATCTTCAAGATGCTTTTCGGAGATTCTCGTTCGACACGATTAGCAAATTGTCATTTGGGTTCGATCCGGTTTGTCTCCGGTTACCGTTAACCTCGTCGGAGTTGGTGGATGCGTTCGACATGGCGTCCACGTTGTCCGCACATCGAGCGTTGGCTCCGTCTCCGTTGTTTTGGAAGATCAAACGGTTCTTGAACATTGGTTCGGAGAAGAAGCTGAAGCAATCTATCGATGTCATAAACCGGCTAGTCGGAGATTTGATAAAGCAACGGCGGAAAAAGGGTTCGGGGATGAACAACAACGACTTGATCTCGAGATTCATGGCGGTTGTCGGAGACGACGACGAATATCTACGAGACATCGTTGTTAATTTCCTCTTAGCTGGTCGGGACACGGTTGCTGCCGGTTTAACCGGGTTTTTTTGGCTGTTAAACCGGCACCCGGAAGTGGAGAACCGGATTCGGGAAGAATTGGAACGGGTCATGGGTCCCGGTTTAGACCCGGTTACTGCGAGCTTTAATCAGATGCAAGAAATGAATTATTTGCACTCGACGGTTTACGAGAGCATGAGACTTCTCCCGCCGGTCCAATTCGACTCGAAATTTGCCCTAAACAACGACATTTTGGCTGATGGCACGTTCGTGGAGAGCGGGGCGAGGGTGACGTACCATCCGTACGCGATGGGTCGGATGGATCGGGTCTGGGGACCGGACTGCGAGGAATTCAGACCCGAGAGATGGCTGGATAGTGCTGGTAAATTTAGACCCGAAAACCCGGTTAAATACCCGGTTTTCCAAGCCGGGCCTAGGGTTTGTGTCGGAAAAGATATGGCGATCATGGAGATGAAGTCGGTTGCCGTGACGATTATACGAAGATTCGAAATTCGAGTTGTGGGTTCTAACCCGATTTCTCGGGCTCCACGGTTCGCGCCAGGGCTCACGGCCACCGTGAGCGGTGGTTTACCGATTAGGGTTCGGGAAAGAAGAGGTTAATTAAATCAAGTTAAGATCTTATTATTAAATTAGTTTCCCATATTAAATTAGGTTCTTGAATTCATGCACACAGTATTAGTTGCCCATATTTTCATCTTTGTTTTCCAGTCTTTTCCTTGGTTTTGAAACTTAAGTTATGTAAATATATTTGTAAAATATGTTTGACTTTACGCAAGTAGAAAATAAAATTATATCAATTAGAGGATTCCCTCCAACGAAAAATGAGTTGTCTTGGTAGAAATATTGAGTGACAATTGTATATGCAATAATACAATAGAAAAAATACACATATATATATATATACGCGTGCATGTGTTATATAATATATTTTTTTTATAATTCGAAAAGTTCACTATAACTTTGGTCAAACTAAAATCCCACTGAATGCATTGCCCGTTCACGCATGAATGTATTATATAGTATTATATTATTCGAGAAATATTTTAGTGAGTTAAAACATATCAATTAAACAACAATTTTTATATAAAAAAAATCTACCCATCATTAATTAATCCATACGACGAGCCAATCCAGCAACCAAAACTTTAAAACTTTTTCCTTTCATAAAAAAAACTTTTTAAAAGCTTTTTCCACATTTAGTAAGGGGTTATTTTCTTTTCCGCAGTAAAATGTTATTTTTATGTAATGAAACAAAAACGTCTGCATCAGATTTAATGTGGGTTCACACATCCACTATTTGACGTCGCATGAAGAGCTGTAATTGATTATCTTAATTGCATCATAATTTGTATCATTTTCCGAATTAAAGTGTGTGACATTTAGCGAAACGTTGCTTTCTTGTCTGCAGTAAAAATGTTCCTTTAGGGAAAAAAACGTCAATTATTATTTGTAATTAGTTGTCTTAATCTTATCTGAAATAGTACTTGATAATTAATTATTCGTTCGTTGTTGATTGGTATAAGCCCATTTGTCACGGTCGTTTTGTTGTTATATTTATCTCGTCCTTTTTTATTTAATTTATGCGAATAATGTCTTTAACTATTGGGTCAAAGCGCCACACATTTAATTTTGTAATCTTCCCCCGAGTAATTTAATAATATTAAATCAGTCATTTTCCTATAATTTGGGCTTTGATTTGATAAAATATTAACGAATCGTAAATGCCAATAAAAATCAGTTTTGGTGTGGAAAGCCATGCATTAAGCAACATAGCAAATCATGGTGGTTGAGATATTATTACTGTTTCATCACAAGGAAAAGAGTTTGGGATCGAAGTGATGATTTAATTATAACATCTAATCATTAATGGAATGACTAATATGACTCTATTTAAATTTAATAATATTTAATTATAAACAGAATTTATTTTTAAAATTTAATTTTTAAATTAAACTATTTCAATTAGAACGGAACATAGAAATAAATGAAAAAAATCGTTAGAAAATAATTATTTTAATAGAATTTGAATCGAATTAACATACAATAAAATTTGAATTAAAACAACTAAAATATATTTTTTTTTAAATTGGGAAATCTGAAAGAAAACGTTTCAATTATTTTAAAAAAAAAGTTATTTACAGTATGCGGTGCCATAAATCTTTTAGATCTAGATTCCAGCACGATCCCGCACAGCACAGGCAGATGTTTTAAATATAACCAATGTGAGAAATTATTTCAAACTAATGATTAAGTTATAGATTATTATAATATTAGTGCGCCCACAAGCATGATCGATGAATGTCTTTTTTAATTAACCGCAATACATATATATATATATATATAATAATTACCATACATTCTTCAAAAATCCTGTATTTTTTTATAATCCGGAAGTTTATCGGATCTTTGATCCGTCTATATATTCCATAGGACCGGAGAAGTCTAGATGAATTCCCCTCTCCACGCTTGGGTTTGAATCCAGTGTGAATTTATACTTTGCATATTCTCTCACCACTAGGCTACAGTCTAGTATACGTGTGTTCTTTAATATAAAAAAAAACAATTGTGACATATTTATTGTCCGTAATACAATAAACTATGACATTTGACAGCTAGCAAACTTTCACAATATATTTCATTCACCGTCGACAATACAATGTACGATGTATATAGGATGCATTGTTACCGGGCATTTGTGTGATTGCTCGATAATAATTATTCAATATTAAAATGGTTATATTTTAGAGCCCGTTTCTATTTATATCCACAGTAAACGTTGTGAAAATTTACATATTTAAATCAATTAGAGATCTCTTCGTGTACAGGACGATTCTACCATCATATATGTATACATAAACGGACCAAATAATAACCAAACATTGTCATCACACAATAGAAAACGAGAAAGCACACACATGGGTTCACGTTTTCTTTGATCTTTTTCTTGAAATGTATATGAATTCGTGAAATGTCTAAGTTGCAATTTATATATGCATATGTGTGTGTATATATAACCATATATGTGAACAGTAACAAATTTTAAAAAGGGGCACGTGTGAAGTGTGATAGGCGTGCATGTTTGGTATACGGGGAAGTGGTCCAATCTTGTCATTGGTGGTTTACACACGACAACGACGTCTAACCAAGTAAATTGATCCCATGAAGACATGTGCATATATACACAAACATATATAACAATATGTGTGTATATATATATATATCGTGAAGTGTCAGGACCACTCATATTTTAAATGTGTATATTATATAAGTGAATGGTTTTTACACAGACGATATTGAGATATGGAAGGAAGAAAGCATGCAGGAACATATATTGGATTTACTCACAAAACTGTATAATGGATGGGCCTTCACATACATGGTTTTGAAGCCCATGTTTGCTCGTTTACCTAAATCTCTTTGGTGTCCGATTAACTTTTATAATATTTATATTATATTGGAAATCCTTATAAATTGAATGCTTCGTCATTCCAAATTATGTTCAAGGTCAAAACCCTAGACTACGTCAGAATTGAATTAATCGAGACAAAAGTAAAATAAATAAATAAATAAAAAACAATGTAAGATTTTAAATCATGAAACCAACGCTCAAATAAATTGAAATGATTCCTATATTGTTAAGTGGCATATTGGAGGAAAACCAACGATTATATTTTATTATATGGCCTTATCAATTTCCTACAAGACATAGACCGCAAGTCATCATGTGGTTGTAGATTCGCGCATCTCTTTGCAACTCCGAAATGGTATACCAGAACAAACATATATATATATATACACATATACATATAGTTGGGTCGAAATTTCCGCAAATTTCAAATTTTAAAAAAAAACAAATCGATAATGAGAAAACAAAAAAAAGAAACATCGTGCCCAAGAAGTGTATGTGTATATTAGGGGCGGACCCAACCTCAGACTCATATACACAGTCATATACACAGTATATATATTTACAAGTGCAACTTGGTAAGTCAACGGCACATAAATTCTAAGTGGGGCAGGTTCCATTTTCCATGGTCGGGGCGTGGAACGCGTTCCGTTGACTGACTTAGCTCCATTATTTCCCTAAAAAAAGTCAACGACACTCTCCTTTAAACCATCGTCTCCTTCACGGACCCTATCTTCGTCGAGAGAGGGAGAGTACAAACCCTAAAAACACAAAAATTAATGGGGAAGCCAAACCAAAACCAGAGCCGGAACGTCCAAAACCATTCCATCACACACTTCAGCCATCCTCATCGCCTCGATCTCATCCCTCCATCGTCCCCATCTCCACCGTGCTCCGCCTGTAACCTCCCCGGAAGGTCTACGTACTCATGCAAGCCATGCAACTTTGCCCTCCACGAGTCATGCGCCCAAATGCCACGTGTCATGACCCACCCGTCGCACCCTTCTCACCGCCTCACCCTCCTCGCCTTTCCTGCCTACGTCGCTGGATGCTTCAACTGCGACGCTTGTGGCCTCACCGGCACAGGGTTTAGTTACCACTGCTCCAAGTGCGAGTACGACGTCCACGCTCTCTGCGCCAATAATCCTCTTTCCGTACGGGACAGGTCGCACCCTCAGCACCAGTTGAAGCTCATGTTCGAGTCACCGTACGGTCCGAAAGGATTCTCCTGTGACGTGTGTGGTCGGATCGGGAAGAACCAGTGGCTTTACCGGTGCCCCACGTGCGAGTTCGACGCTCACGTGAGATGTGTTGCGACGACTCAGCCTCATCTCCAGCACGTGAGCTCTGTCCCCGTTAGCTATGGCGGCGGAGGAAACGCTCATCATCTCGATCAGCATAACTCGTTCCCCGGGCATAACGGAGGCGATGTTAATTCCGTCAGGCCCATTGGAGGAAACATCAGACCCAATGGGCCTCCTAGAAAATATAGGCCCAATATTCAATCAGGATATCCTAATGGGCCTGGAGGGCAGAATCGTAATTTGGGCCTGAATAGTCCAGTTGGGCCTATCGGGCGTGATGGGAAAATGGGCCAAAGTTTCGGCCCAGTAGCAGTCGCCGACGCTGGCGGCTACGACCGGGTAGCCTACCATGAAGGCGGCGAAGGTGGAGACTCATACGGCGGAGGAGATGATGAATTTGGTTATGACGAAGGCGGTGTAGTAGACATCGAAGGAGAAGATGCAACATATAGTGAAAACAATTTTGGAGGCGGCCGAGGTAGCGATTTGGGCGGCGGCAGCGATTTCGGCAGCGTTAGCGGAGGAGGTGATGACGTGTACGGTGGTGATGATGCTGATGATCTTTATCCAGCTGACGTGGATGCCTCGCAACCGGCCAATGGACCTCAAGAACCTAATCAAAATATGGTAATGAGTGGGCCGGTTCTTACTGGACCGGGTAATATCCGGTACGGTCCGACCGAGAGGCCGAGGAACATGAACCGGTACAGAGCAAGTGGTAGGCCTAATGATCCCAGAAATACGAATCGCCGTACGTATGGTTATGGGCCTCAACCCAAGGCAATGATTAGAAGGCAAAATAACCCTAACTGGCCTGCGACTATCGTTAATGGGCCTAATTACTTGGGCCCAGATAGTTCAAATGGGCCTGACCAAATGCGACAGGACCCTTCTCAAGGTGGAATGGTCGATGAAGGCGATATGTACTTTGGTGAGGAGTATACTGGTGGTTACAATGACGAGAATTACGATGAAGGCGATGACGGTGGAAGTGTTTACAGCGGTAGTTATTGCGAAAGCGATTTCAGCGGCTACGTCGATATCGGACGAGGCGACGGATATGACGATATGTATGATAGTATGGAGGGGGAGATGCATCTCCAAGCTGAGGACGATTATGTGCAATCTACCGGCGGATTTGGAGATCCAAACCAATTCACACCAATGGGCCCACTAGTAGACCCAAACCCGAACCGTCCTAGGCCCAATGGGTCTAGAAATTTGAACATGAATGGACGATACGGTGGGGTGAGGCCCAATGCTTTGACTCGGAGGACGCGATATGGGCCGAATGCGGCAGCTGGGCCTAATGGGCCTAATGGAGCAAATGGGCCTAATGGGCTTGGAAGCGCGGCGATGAATGCGATGGTTCAGGGTTTGTGTCAAGGATTTGCTCAGAACATGATCGGGAACAGTGACGGCGGCGATTCGGCGGTTACGAGCGTGGCATCGTCTGTGTTGGGAGGCTTATTAGGCGGCAACTCGGAATCGTGAAAAGGGAAATCAAAATTTTATTCAAGATTTGTTTTGCTTTATTTAATGTGATATATTATTTTTTTTAATACCTGGATTAATGTAATTTTTTTTCCTTTCAAAAATGTTTTTTTTCCTTTTCGTTAGATTTGTTGTCGTCATTGTTGTTACTGTCTGCTAAATGTTTTGCAAATATATGCATTTACATTTATCAAGTGAAACGTTATTGGTAATTTGGTATATGGCTGTGAATTATATTTTTAAGAGTAAAACTCTTAAAAAACCTTCAACTTACAAAAATATATACAAATAAAAAAACTATCATTCAATCTCCGAACTTGTAACTTGTCACTGAATAATAACTCGAACTTGCAAATTATTGCTCTAATAAACCTTTGACCGGTTTGACCATAATTTCAGGCGATCGGAAATCCACGTATTAACGGATTGGCGATGGCACCTTATACACGTTATCAATTTTAATTTAAAAAATGACATCAGTAATCCGTCAATATATGGATTTCCGATCGTTTGAAATTGTGGTCAAAATGGTCAAAGGTTTATTAGAATAATAATTTGTAAGTTCGAGGTTTTATTCATTGACAAGTTACAAGTTCGAAAATTGAATGACAGTTTTTCAAGTTAAGATTTATTTGTATATATTTTTGTAGGTCGGGGAAATCCACGTATTAACGGATTGCCGATGTCACCTTATACACGTTATCAATTTTAATTTAAAAAATGACATCAGTAATCCGTCAATATATGGATTTCCGATCGTTTGAAATTGTGGTCAAAATGGTCAAAGGTTTATTAGAATAATAATTTGTAAGTTCGAGGTTTTATTCATTGACAAGTTACAAGTTCGAAAATTGAATGACAGTTTTTCAAGTTAAGATTTATTTGTATATATTTTTGTAGGTCGGATGTTTTTTTAGGAGTTTTACCTATTTACAAATTCGGGGGATGGAAGGACTCTTTTGAAAAATCCTCCTCTCTCTCTCCTGGGGCGCACATGTGTCCGTACACGGGCACAGACCTCTCGCTTTTGAAGAAAGCAAATGCAACTCACAAGAACCATACGAAAATCTCAATATTTGGGAAAGCTCCGACCAAATTTCCATCAATGCCGTTCATTTGTCGTCTGTTCAGCTGAACCATCGGGTTTACGCGATGCACGTAACCTGTTCGATAAAATTCATGACCGAAACCAGGAAAGGTATACAAGCTTGCTCTTTGAGTGCTCGCGTGATGGAAGAACTCGGGAAGCGACCGATCTCTTCTTGGGTATTCATCGTTCTGGATTGGCCATGTCATCTTCCATCTTCTCATCCGTGGTGAAGGTCTGTGTTTGTTTGTGCGATGAGATTCTCGGCAGACAGTTGCACTGTCAATGTGTAAAGTTTGGCTTTTTGGACGATGTGAGTGTCGGGACGTCCCTAGTTGATATGTACATGAAATCATTTAATGTTAAGGATGGAAGGGATGTGTTTGATGAGATGAAGGAGAGGAATGTTGTTTCTTGGACAACATTGATTAGTGGGTACGTGAGAAATGGGTTGAACGAGAAAGTGTTGGAATTGTTCATCAGAATGCAGCAGGAAGGGATTTGGCCGAACCCTTTCACGTTTGCAGCTGTTCTTGGAGTTTTGGGTGCAGAAGGGATGGTTGAGAGGGGAGTTCAAGTACACTGTGTAGTCATAAAGAACGGTTTCGATAGAGCGACTCCTGTGTCTAATTCTTTGATCAATTTGTATCTGAAGTTCGGGATGGTCAGGAAAGCTCGAATTATGTTCGATAAGACATATGTGAAGAGTGTAGTCACCTGGAATAGTATGATTTCGGGATATGCAGCCATCGGGCTCGATATAGAAGCGTTCAGAATCTTGTACTTGATGAGACTTAATGGTGTGTGCTTATCTGAATCAAGTTTTGCCTCCATTTTTAAGTTGTGTGCTAAGTTCAAGGAGCTGAGGTTTACTCAGCAACTCCAGTGCAGTGTTTTGAAGTCTGGGTTTTTGTCCGATCAAAATATAACAACAGCTATAACGTTAGCTTATAGCAAGTGCGGTGAAATGGACCATGCTTTCAAGTTGTTCCAGCAGATGCAAGGACTTGGGACCGTTGTCTCATGGACAGCTATGATCACTGGCTTCTTGCAAAATGAAGGAAAAGAACGAGCTGTCGGTCTGTTTCAGGAAATGAACAGGAAAGGCGTTAGACCAAATGAATTCACTTACTCTGTGATCATCACAGCTATGCCCGTCATTTCGCCTTCCCAGGTTCATGCACAGGCTGTGAAAACCAATTACGAGAAATCTTCCACAGTTGGAACAGCTCTTTTGGATGCTTATATCAAATTAGGTAAGATTGAAGAGGCTGCCAGAGTTTTCGACCTAATAGATGAGAAAGATATCGTGGCTTGGTCAGCGATGCTTGCCGGGTATGCCCACACTGGAGATACAGAGGGAGGCATAAAGGTTTTTGCCGAGTTAACAAAGAAAGGGGTAAAACCAAACGAGTACACATTCTCTAGTGTCCTAAATGTATGTGCAGCTCCTACAGCATCTGTAGGACAGGGGAAGCAATTTCATGCCTTTGCTATAAAATCAAGATTCAATGAGGCATTATGTGTAAGCAGTGCACTTGTCACCATGTATGCGAAGAAAGGTAACATTGAGAGTGCAGACCAAGTGTTCAAAAGGCAACGAGAAAGAGATTTAGTCTCATGGAACTCGATGATATCTGGTTATGCACAACATGGGCATGCTAAGAAAGCTCTCGATGTTTTCACAGAGATGAAGAGGCGAAATGTGGAAATGGATGGTGTAACATTCATAGGCGTATTTGCCGCTTGTACACACTCGGGTTTAGTCGAAGAAGGTGAAAGATACTTCGGTATAATGGTGAAGGAGTACAAGATTGTTCCAACAATGGAGCATTATAGTTGCATGGTTGATCTATCCAGCCGAGCTGGATTTCTCGACAAGGCGATGAAGGTTATAGATGATATGCCTTACCCGGCTGGTGCAACTATCTGGAGGACAATTCTAGCCGCTTGCCGTGTACACAAAAGGATCGAACTTGGAAAATTAGCTGCAGAGAAGATCATCAACCTGAAACCAGAGGATTCAGCTGCATATGTGTTGCTATCCAACATGTATGCTGCCTCGGGAGATTGGCAAGAAGGAGCTAAAGTTAGAAAGCTGATGAACGAGCGGAACGTGAAGAAAGAAGCCGGGATAAGTTGGATCGAGGTCAAGAACAAGACCTACTCGTTTCTGGCAGGGGATCGATCCCATCCTTTAAAAGAACAAATCTATATGAAACTCCGAGAATTGGGTACTCGGCTAAAGGACCTCGGGTATAGGCCGGATACAGATTTCGTGCTTCAGGACATCGACGATGAGCACAAAGAAGCGGTTCTTTCTCAGCACAGTGAGAGGTTAGCCATTGCTTTCGGGTTGATAGCTACACCGCCGGGAAACCCTCTTCAGGTGGTGAAGAACCTTAGGGTTTGTGGAGATTGTCATACAGTCATCAAATTGATTGCAAAGATGGAAGGAAGAGAGATTGTGGTAAGAGATACAAACAGGTTTCATCACTTCAAAGATGGGGTTTGCTCTTGTGGAGACTATTGGTGACAAAAGTCTCAAACTTTCTGATTCAGGACACAAATCAAAGGCCATATCCAATGGATTTTGGGAGATGTTCTTTACACAAATTCGGAATAAGCAAATACAATGTTGAGGCATCAAACATAATGAGCTGGTTCGATCTCAGTATATTTAATAAAGGGGAAGTTTCAGTGAGATCTTCCATTGAATTAAAAAAAGGTAACTAATAATACCGAGCCATTCAATGGTATGCTTCCAATGAGTTGCCAAATCGATAAATCTATTAGCCCTCTTCGCCAAATTCCTTTGTGAATCTCTCATGGACTTCAAGGTCACTTTTGCTCACTGTTGGCCTCTGCCTTGCAAGCACCTTATCAAAATCTGTTCTCGAGATCGGCGGTGGAATAATCTGTTGCATTTAGATAACAAAGCAAATCAACAACACTCATGTATGACTACTAAAAAAACCAAGCAATCAAAATCTCTATATGTTCACTGAATGAAACCAAATATCGGCTCCTTCCCAATGATATTTGTCCAGGGGAAATATAAATCTTCTTCCTCAATCCAAATTTCCATCTGGGTACTTAACCATAGTTACATGAACTTTCCTGGGGATCAAATGCTTATATCTGCATTTCTATGCTAAAAAAAGCTTAGATGTCTCTCCAATTACATATGAGAGAGTAGCCTTAGAGTATGAATATCAACGTGTTTAGAAACTTCAAAAGATTGAGCACAGAACCTGATAAAAAAAAAAAAAGGCAATGTTCACTTGCATTGAATTATGACGCTTACCTTCTCAGCCAGCCCTTTTGTTGCAAGATCCTGCATGGTAGTTTGGATTGCACCGGGTTGCTTAGGCCCACATGGCATCCACATTCCATCAGGTGTCTTGAAGAAGAACATGGCATCCTGAGTTTTACGAACAGGTTCGAATAAAACATCTTTGACCTGCCAGAGCCAAAAGGATTTGAAACAAAGGAGGTTATCCATGGCTAATAGTAGGATGCAATCTGAAGAATACAAACAATATTTGAGTCAAGCCACCTACACAAACAGATACATCAGAACCAGAAAACCCTTCTGTCCTGCGACCTAAATATTCAAAATCAGCTTCACTTAAGTTATGAGGAGTATCTCCCAAATGCACCTGCGCATTACGTAGGGAGACTGATTAGCAAAAGATTATTTTTCTTGAATGATATAATTTGAAGAGTATGGTACAAAGATATTTCATACTTTGAACATGTGCTGCCGAGCCTTGGCGTCAGGGAGAGGGATATAGATACGTTTATCAAAACGTCGTCGAATAGCCTGAGATCAACAGGATATCAACAATCAGATAGTATTCTAAACACGAGAAGGAAACCTCAAACCAATATACTCATATGACTTTAACCTGATCAAGAGCATAAGGTGTGTTTGTTGCTGCAAGGACAAGAACCTTTTCATCATTGTGCCCAACACCCTAACAAAAAAAGAGATGAGGAAAGAGATGAAATGTTTATGCAAAATTGGAATCGCAGAAGACTCGGTTCAGAAAGCTTCACACCTGCATCTGCACAAGAAGCTCAGTTTTAATACGTCTTGAAGCTTCACTCTCGTTGCCTTCTCCACGTTGACCACATAAGGAATCAATCTCATCGATGAAAATGATTGATGGAGCACTTTCACGGGCCATCTGGAAAAGGTTTGATACTAGCTTTTCACTTTCACCCATCCACTTCGATACCAGATCTGATGAAGATACACTGGTGGTTGGGAGACAAAAATGAAATAACTATTGAAAAAGCTACGACGAGTTCAAGCATAGAAGCAATGAAACATAAGAGCAAAGCAAATAAAAACAAAGCACAAATTAACGTACAGAACATGACATGAATTATAACAAGCCTTCCACAACATGAGTTGTAACAAATGTATGCATGTTTGTAATCAAGAGCTTTGCATGAACACAATGGGGAGAGGGGATGTGACAGGTTAGACCTCAAAGATTCATACAAATGCCTAATCTAAACGACATGTACCGATTCACTCATATAACCATTTAGATTCTACACGGACTATAAAACAGATCTTTCCGCCTGTCTTGCAAACAACATTTAACGTTTACAGAAAGTGGTAAATCTGTCAGAAGCTGCCATAAATTCACCACATGAATCATATATAGAAAGCTCGGCATGTTTAGAGCAAGACAAGCTTCAGAAGTACTCTCAGAACAGCTACAGATGATGAAACCATGGAGCAAATCTTCAGACATATATTACCTGAAAAACGTAGATTCAGCTTCAGTAGCAACAGCCTTGGCCAAGTAAGACTTCCCCGTTCCTGGAGGTCCGTACAATAGGAAAGCCCGCCATGGCCGCCTCTTTCCTAACCATAGCAAACGATACTGGTCAACAGAGCTGATCAAAGCCATTATCAAATCCATTACCATGATATCCATTAACATCTATAAAAAAGCTTCGAATCCAATGAAGCAGGCTTCATAATACCAACTTAAAATCAATCATCAGATGTATGAAAAGAAATTAACGCAGCCAACAAGACAATCTAAACGCCCAAAACTTAACCAGTGAAGAACTGTGGAAACTTGACGGGCAAAATCACAGCTTCCTGCAACGCCTGCTTCGCGCTCTCAAGCCCAGCGACATCAGTCCACTTCACGTTCGGCTTCTCCCTTATGATCGCGGAGTTCAACCCAGCTCGGAGCTTCGACTGCTCCGGATCCTCACCGTCTCCGCCGCCTTCGCCGTCCTTGGGCTTGCTCTTCGGCCGGGTGGCGACGGCAGCGTCGCCGTTGGATCCAGGACCAGATCCACCTTCATCGAGAACGGCCCGGATCTCCTCGGCTCGGCGGAGATACTCGGTGAATTTCTGGGTGATGGCTTCCCTGATTTTAGGGTTCTTCTCGTACTTGAGGTGGGTCTTGAAGTACTCGAGCGCATTCATGTACAGAGGAAACGCCTTGCTGTAATTCCCGGCATTGTCCTCTTGCACCGCCTGCTTCACGTACTCAATCGCTTGTTCCTTAAAATTGCTGTACATATCTTCTTAGAGAACCCCGAAAATTTCTCGACTCGAATTAAAATCGAGAACAGCTATGACCTAAATCGGATCAGATGATTGGGAATTGATGGAACCCTAGAACCGTGAACGATCCATGATCAAGCTTTCTGAGAATCAGATAATCGACTCTTTAGGAGAGAAAGAGGAAACGAGGAAGAAGGCAGACAAAAATCCCAGCTTTTGACGTTGAAAATTAAAGGCAATTACTAAAACGACAGAGCGTGTATTTCTAGACGATAAAAACGACGAGGCTTGTTAGTTGAAAAGAAAAAATAAATAAAAGGAGAGAACTCGATTTGACGAATGAAAAATGGAAAGAGCTCGCCGTTTACAATTTCAACCCCTAATTTAGAAAACCTTTCGAATTTGGTCCCATAACTATCAAATTAGTCAATCTAATTATATATTAAATAAAATTAAAATTGTTTGTGAATGGAAAATACAATAATTTTCCGTGATTTTTTAAAGGAAGAAAACAGTTTGTTGCTTTAGTTTAAAAAAAAACTAGCAATCGAAACTTTAAAAATTTAAATTCGAAAATAGAAAAATAAAAATGAAAACGAAGATGGGTAGAGATTGGAGAGAGAGGGAGCTTCTGAGAATCTTCAATCAGCCAAGCATCAAATGCATTGTTAAATTATTTAATTTAATATTCTCGTCCGTGATTTTATTTTCTCTTCTTCATTTTTCGTAGTTTGTGTTTATGGGTTTTTCTTTCTTCTTGTGATCTCAGATTCTGAGGATTCTTCTCTTTTCTGTTCCTTCCCCTTTTCTTTTCTCCAGTGATTTTCTCTCTCCCCAAACACGCCAGTTAAGGTATCTCACGCTTCCTTTTTGCATCCCTTTCGGACTTTTCCCCGTCACTCGAATCCGACTCTCAGGTACGTTTCTATTCTGTTGATAATTGGCGAATTTGAATTCCTTTTCGAGCTATTCTTTTCACGAATTTTCGTTTCGGTTTCGACGAATTGGTTGCGGATCTGTCTTTTTGCGATGAGATTTTATGATGTTTTTGTTGTTCGATCATTACGAAATCGGTGTTCGTATAATTTTCTCAGTTATTCTCCAATGAATATAGCGTACGGTTGATTGATTTTCGAATATGAGGATCCATTTCCTAGGGCTTGTTGTTGGAGTTCGAGCTCTCGAAGGTTAACGGACATGGCAGAAGAGCACAGATTCCAGGCTCCGCGTTTGTGCGCCAACACAACTGCGGCTTCTTCGGCAGCCCTGCGACATAAAGCCTCTGCTCCAAATGCTTCTGCGATCTCCAGATCAAACAGCAAAATTCCTCCCCCAAACTCGCCCATTACCAAACCCTAGTCTCCACCTCCGCGTCCACGCCTTCCATCTTGGCCGTGGACTCGACGGCGGTCAAGGTTAGCCGATCGAAATCGGAGGATCCGACGGCGGTGACTCAGCCGCAGCCTCAGCAGGACCCGGACCGGTGGTCGAGTTGCCGGCGGCGTGTGGGGCTCACGGGGTTCTAGTGCAGGTGCGGGTTCGTGTACTGTGGATCCCACATGTACCCTGAGCAGCACCGTTGCTGCTCCGATTTCAAGGGCTTGGGTAAGGAGCAGATCGCGAAGGCCAATCCCGTCGTCAAAGCCCAGAAACTGGAGAAACTATGAAATCGAGGTGCATAACCTGAGAAGGGTATAGAGGAATGATTCTTTGGGCCTTGTTTGTTTCTCGAGAAAATCACAGAGCAGAATGGAAATGCAAAATGCCCGAGGAAAATGGTAGGTTTGGTGGTGCATGTAAATTCAACCGACACTTTCATATTTTAATAAAGCTTATTCTATTATTCCACTGGGGGCAATACGGTGAATAGTTTCATTATATCCCTCATTGAATCGTTCAATGGCATGATTCATTATATATATTATCAAAAACGCCAAAAAAAAAAGATTTCTTTCAATATCATTTTGGTTTCTATTTTATTTGAATTCGCATCTCATTAAGAACTATTTATTTAAAAAACTTAAAATCAGTTTTTTATTTTTTAAATCAACGAGTAATTTGATTTAAAAATTGTATATAGCCTTTTTTTTTATTAAAATCAATTTAGATAAGGATACCTGAACCCTAATTTTAACCCTAGTTAATTAACGTGTCACGGACACGGACTACGTTGTGCTGGTGGTATTTATATGTGAATAATACGCCTACACCGCATACATTCGTTGTTGTTGATCTAAAGTTGTTATTGGAATATTTTATTTTTTTAGGTGGTAGAAAAAGCAAAATATTTTTAGTTATACAAATTCATCTGTGAAATTATTTCATTATTTCTATGACCGCATCATGCCGAGGACCATGATTACTTAAGCGATAAGTATTAACCCATCATTCTAAATCTTGGGTAGCATACATGACGTTTGATACCTTTAATCTTTCATCCATATGTTAAAATTATTTAATATACTTATTTAATTTCAATGGTTATAGTAGAAAAATAGATAAAACTCTACTCGATCAAACCTTTGATAAACAATAATGGGAGCCTTTAATAATGTTTGATTTATTTGATAAAACGATGTACTGATAATATGATAGAAATGCTAATTACACATTTAACAAATCATTAATAGACAAGAGAAAGTTAATTGCACGTTTAACCAACATTAACCGAATAATTCAATCCGTATATTATAATACAATAAAATAAAATATATTATCGAAACTAAAATTTAAAAAAGGGTTAGAGAAATGAGAACCTATAGAATACTTCCCACACATTTAATCCCTCCTCCCTCCTCCACGGGGCCCACAACATGCATGCACTTCCGAACCTTTCTCTCTCTCTCTCTCAGTAGGCTTTTTCGCTTGAGGCCCCGTATCTCATATTTTCTCCCCATTTGAATATTTCCTCAGCTAATCCCTTCACCATTGTCGTGTGGTCCGGTAAGTTCTTCCTCACCTGGTTTTCCTGAGGTTCGAACTCAAACAAAGAGAATCCAGAATCGTATTTGAGTTCGTTCGTTTGCTTTTTAAGCGAACTCTGCTCTGTTTTAGCTTGTACACAAATTTCATCGTCTGACGTTTCCATATTTCTCCGGAATCTGGAAATTTCCCTCCAGGTTTCCGAGATTCTGAGTTGGAGGAACGAAACCCATATCGAATCCGGAGCTTTTCTAGCCTTTTTTCTAGATTTCCTCTGATGGGTATTGAAGAATCTGCAGTTTTGGTTACAGATTCATGAGGTTTTTTAAATCTTCCTTTCATTCTCAGTGTTTGTGCTGAAGTCAGCTGGACCCGCAATGGATCCGAACTCAACCCTGACGACCCGCTCAATACCCGAGCTACACCGCCCATTTGTCGGGATTTAGCCGCAACCACCATCGCCGGGAACTCTCTTGACGGCGCCGATGAAACGTTCCTTTCGGTCTCTTTTCAGCGTTCTCCTATTCGTCTTCTTCTCCGCCACACTCATCTGCAGAGTCGCCATCCGCCGGAGCAGCCTCTTCTTCAGCTCCGCCATCGTCGAGCTAGGGACCTCCGGCCTCCTCACGCCTCCGGCGAAGCCGGTGTTCAATGAGACGTTGCTGGTATTCGCCGCCATTGATCCTGGGGAGCCGAAATTCCGAGAGGAGATTGATTTGATATCGGATTACGACGGCGGTCGGAGAAGCCATCGCCGGAAATTCGCGGCTCGTGAGAACCGGAGATTCTCTTCCCGATTACCGGTAATGCATCTGTCCTCTCAAATTGATCGTTATTGGTCGGAATCCAGACGAAATTTGCAGATTTGGGCTCGTCGGAGGACATATGAACCTAATGTCATGTCGGATTTGATCAGATTAGTCAGGAATCCGATTGAAGCACACAATGGTACATCATCTTCAAACTCAAGGTATTCATCTTGTGCCGTGGTTGGCAACAGCGGCATTTTGCTGAATACCCAGTATGGAGGTCTCATCGATGGCCATGAGATTGTGATCCGGTTGAACAATGCAAGAACTCAGAGATTCGAGAAGCTGGTCGGATCGAAAACGAATATTTCCTTCATAAACAGCAACATCTTGCATCTATGTGCTCGAAGGCAAGGTTGCCACTGTCACCCATATGGTGAAACAGTGCCTGTAGTGATGTATATTTGCCAAGCCATTCATTTCTTTGATTACACTCTGTGTAAACAGTCTCATCGCTCGCCATTGATTGTCACTGACCCAAGATTCGATGTCCTCTGTGCCCGGATTGTGAAGTATTACTCGGTGAAGAGGTTCTTGGAAGAGACAGGGAAATCTTTTCTGGAATGGAGTAATGCCAAAGATGGAGCTTTGTTCCATTACTCCTCTGGTATGCAAGCTGTGATGCTTGCTTTGGGAATTTGTGAGAAAGTGAGCGTTTTCGGGTTCGGGAAATCGGATTCAGCCAAGCACCATTACCATACCAACCAGAAGGCCGAGCTCGGGCTACACGACTATGAAGCTGAATACGACTTTTATCGCGACTTGGAAACGAATCCAAGGGCCATTCCGTTCTTGCCAGAGATGTTCAAGATCCCCCCTGTTGTGGTTTACCATTGAAAACTCTGATTCTCCCTCTTTTGGTTTTGTCTGAAGATTCGATAGTAAAAGCTCAAAGCACCCACACTGTACAGTGGTTTTGATCAACGGAATCTAAAGGTTTTTTCCATCCAAGAATCAAGTTTTGGAATATTGATATAGTAATTTTGATCGTAATACAAGAAAACGCACCATTAATATTCATATATAACAAGAAGTCTCTAATGAGGATTAATTATCATACGTACAGTAATGAAGCGCACAAATTTTCTCTAACGAGAAAACAGAAAATTTATGTGCTTCACCACTTGAAGGCGCTCACTCACTCACACTCACCAGAGAATTAAGATACCTAATTAAAAGCCAAATCGAAGATTAACTATTAATTAATTAATTACTTAGATAATTAGGGGGATTTAACCCTTCGTCAACCCGCAAATGCTCCTTGACAAATAGATCCCTTGTGGAAGGAGATCTTTTTGTTAGTGAGCACAAGCTCTTCGGTTGCTTAGACGTAGAATCCCCCCACCAAGCCTCAAGAACCCTAATTCATTTCGAAATAAATATGAAAATGGTTAGATTAGACCGGGTTTTGATCTGGACCGGCTTCCAATCATATGCTTATTTCATCGGTAAAGTATCAAGAAAAAAGATCATGAATTTCAAAATGTTGCCCCATCGTCTAGATAGGAGCAACATAAGAAAATTCAGACCTTTTTCAAGGAATATACCTTACCGATGCGGATCGATGATCGAGAAAACCAACCCGAGATACTGTCCATCCCGGTCTATCCAACGAGATACCCGCTTAATTACTCCGTGGTAACACACTCCTTCTCCTCCTCGAACCCGCCGGAAAGAAGAGAAGGGTGAGGTGAATGCCCTTTCCCGAAGGACCTAATATGATCCTTGAGAGATCTCTTGTGCTTGAAATCGGACCCGCAAGTGCAGTACCAAAGCTTTCCGCAGTTCTTCTCGTGCGTCCGCCAGTCTCCTTTCACGGCCAAAGCCTTTCCGCATTTCCTGCAGGAAAAAGACTTCGAGCCGTGCTTGCGTTTGTAATGCGTCTGAAGTGTACGGAAGTCCTTCAAGGGCCTCGCCCTCGGATGGTCGATGTTGTTCTTACATCCTACGGCGCAGCAATAGCACGGCAACCTCAGGATCTCGGCCGGTTGTGTCGTGCCTTTCAGCGAGTCCGGTCCCTTTCTGAACTCCGATCCATGCCCCCACATATGCATCTGTTGAAGTAATGAACGTAAACAAATGATCAAGCCATGCATACACTATAAATTAATTGTCCTATATACACCTATATATATGATTTGATATATATATATATATATATATATATATATATTGAAATCATAACAGAGAGAATCCTAAGTGATTATATATAAAAGTTTAAATTTATAATACTTTCCAAAAAGATTATACATTAGGGTAAGCAATCGATCGCATACTCAATAAAAGCATGATCATCGTTTTTACACCTAATGATTCTCTTGTTTGGTGAATTATATTTTACCGAAACCCTATCTATGATTATCCTTTTGCCTTGGCTTTTCACCCAAAAGAGAAGGCAACGAGGGGGGAAAAGTCAAAAAATAAATTATTGTGATCACGCGAATTAATCAAATAATACAGGGATTAAATTGCAAATTACACATTTTACTCAATTGATCGATATACGAATCATTAAACCAACCGGCTATACTATAATCACGCTACCATAGTTTCTGCTAAGGTCATGAATAATAATAATAATAATAATAATAATAATAATAATAATAATAATAATAATAATAATATGTTCACACAGATGAACGAATCTAGGTTAATATTATTTAGATTACGTGCTCGATCTTATTAAAATTCATATAAAAATAATAAAAAATAGTATTGATTTTATATGAGTGACCCAATAAAGCCCCAAAATAATAAAATTTTCTAGATCTGATTATCGTACATGTAGACGAATGCGTGTATATATAATAATTAAGAGCAATATAAATGGACTGACCTGCATGTTATTGTACCTATTGAAGGTCTTGTTGCAAATAGAGCATGCAAATTGCATTGGGCCTACAAGAATTTGAGCAGCACTTGGAATCCAAAACCTTGTCCCTGAAATATCCAAATCAAAATCACTCTCGGAGCTCATCTTCCTCTTCCTAATCACCACTCCATCGCCATCACCATCATCACCATCGCCATGATCACCATCATCTTCTTTCTTGATGGCCATTTTCTGGCAATCAGAAATGGCATCAGAGTTGTTTCGATGATAACTAGGAATTCCGATGTGGAGAGCCACTGTGACTTCCCCTTCTCCTCCTCCTTCTTCCACCTCCAAAGCTTCTTTGACGTTCTTCTGTAGATTGGGTTCGGGGGGTTTCTCCATGAGCTTGTTCAGAAGTGGCAAACACGTAATATTTTGGCCTTTCGAAAAGTGATCTTGCGGTCGGCAAAACAAGGGACTTTCCACCATGTTTGTGTGATAATCTCTAAGTAGGATCTGTCTGGTCAAATGGGACAGCAAAGACGGAGGAGGAGAAGGGGAGGGTTTAAGCACTCCATTGAAGCTTGGAAAGTGATGGTGAAAGCTTAAACCTCTTTCTTGGCTCTTCCTTAAACTCATCTCTTTTGTTTGCGATGAGATTCTCTCTCTCTCTCTCTCTCTCTCTCTCTCTCTCAGGAAGATTTAGATTTGGGAGAGGGTATATATGAACCGACTTCTCATGTGTGTGTATGTATGTATGTATTGGTTTGTCAAAATGGGGTCTCTTTCTTTCCTCTCCAAGCGTTCTAATTATTCTTAATTTTCAAACCTCCTTTTTTCTTCCTACCCCCAACAAATACATATACATATACACACACATATACATATAATTATATTTTGTGTGTGTGTGTGTGTGTGTTTCCGGCTAGTGTACGTTCGCACGTACGCGTTCACGGCAAAGAGTTTTTTTTCCTTCTTTTTTTTTTGTGTGTGTGGTGGGGTTTGGGATAGGCGAAAAGGAAACGCACAAGCACGAGGCTTTCATAGAAAGAGAACCCAAGACTCAACCTCTATCTCTTCCTTATGTCTTTTTCTTCTTTCTTCCGTTACATATATATATATATACACAAATACATCCTTCTTAAATATAGACCGGCGTAGACCTATATAATCATTATATGAAAACTACAGCTTTTTTAAGGTATTTTTGAAGAATTTTAAGTGATGAAAAAAATATTATTGTATATATATATATATATATTCTAACTAATTATAAATGATCGACACAATGGGTAGTAAAATGATTGTTTATTTTTGTTTAAAAAATAACGAAGGTTTAATAATACATATGTAAGCGGAAGGCAGAATCTCAATTGAAGAAAACGATGGATGCATTTTGGTCAATACCTGAAAGAAAATAAATTAAAATTTATAATTTTAAAAATTTTTTAAAAAAAGGAGGAAAAGATAACTACTCCCTCCGTTTCAGATTAATTGTAGTTTTAAGATTTTTCACATTTTTTAAGAAAAAAATAAAAGGTCATATTTGCCCTTATTTAATGATAAAAATAATGTTATCATTAATAATTTATTGGAATTTGATAGGGATAAAATTGGAAACTATTGTAAAAAAATGTCTCGAAAATGTAGAATGACAAATATTTTGAAACATGGAAAATAACCTAAAACTACAAATATTTTGAAACGGAAGGAGTAATAGAAATAAGTTAGTCTATGAGGTCCAAAACGGGAGTTCATTCAATGCATATAACATGAACAGTGCAATTTTTACTTGCATCCATATTATAACATTATAACAGATGTTCACACACAAATTTGGTATATAATTATAAATCGGTTCGGTAAATTAATGAAGGTAAAAACAGTGAGCGTCTTGCGTAAAATATTGCTGTTACTGTTATTCATACATACATATATATATATATATATATATATATATATATATTGTATATATGTGAGTGTATATGGGTGCGTAAAATATTATATCAATTTTTTTGTATCGACAGTTTCAATAATTAAGAAGCACAATTTTTTGGCATAAATAAAATTGCAATATTTTTTTTTCGGTGGGACTTTGTCAAATTGGGAATACACCAACCTCTTATTTCCTTCCTTAATTAATTGTAGAAATGATTCAGCTTTACCGAAACCCTATCTATGATTATCCTTTTGCCTTGGCTTTTCACCCAAAAGAGAAGGCAACGAGGGGGGAAAAGTCAATCTAAATTCAAGGTAATTATATTTGTAATATATGTTCTTCATCAATGTATAAGAATGATGTAGAAATTAAAATAAAGTATAAAAATGTATCTTTTTTTCTACTACATGGTCTTCGAGTGGTACTGTACTGTTGCTTATTTGAAATTCCACCCACCTGACGCCTTACCTTTTAGACTTTCAATTTCCAATATTGTTATCACTATTATTTTTTATTTTTTTATTTTTATCATATATATACATTCGTCATTACTACTTCTGTGAACCAATTAATCTTTAACGAAACAGATTAAAAACCAACCCGAAAATCAAAGGGCCGGTTTAACCGTATTGGGCCTAAATAGTATAAATGGGCCTACTATCGGCCCATTTTGAATCTATTTTTAGTCGTACCCATCTATCCCGGCATCTCTTCCACATCGATACAGCTCCGAAAAAGTAACATTTCTACGTAGATATATGTATTTTTTATAAGCCCTGATTGAGCTGTACGTATATGTGTACATCCTCAAATTGCAGGCCACGGTTTTCGAGAATGCTAATCTAATTTTGTAATTAAATACGAGAATTTGTATATATATATATATAAGCACGTATAAGAACTCGAAGCAAATTTGTATTACGGTATTAATAAACTCGACGACATTTAAATAAAATATGGAAACAAGGCAAAAGAAACAACAACAACAACAACAACAACAATTAGGAGGATCTTCTTGGTACGAAAAACAAGTTTACGTACATACATACATATATATATATATATATATATATATATATATATATATATATAACAAACCATCGATATATCATACTTAAATTATTCAGGTCACAAACACTTCTTAGATACACATACATATGATGACATACACAATGCATGGAACATGCATGTGTCATATGTATGTCAGGGCGTTACACACACATGCATATATATACCTACGTGTATATATATGTATATATGTGTGGTGGTGAAGTTAGCGGCGTCTAGCGGCGGTCTCACGTTGGCAGTTGAAGAAGACGGCCGCGACGGGGAGGCCCAGATCGTTCTCGTGAGCGAACATTCGGGTGTTGAATTGGTCGCGGTACGATGGTACGGACACGACAGAGCCGCGACGCTTCTGCTTGAACAGCATGAACACGAATCGGTGGATTCCAATGTTCGGCCTCGGCATTTCATACCCTACGATCTCTTGTCCTGTTGTTTTTTCAATATTAGGTGTTATATATATATGATTCCATTCAATTTAAAATTTTGGATTTTATCCAAAAAAATTTAAAATTTTGGATGATTATATAATAATTTTATTAGATTCAACAAGAAGATGAGCGTACCGAATGTTGCATCCGTTGTACCGGGGATATCGGTTACAATCCTATAAGATTGATAAATGAAAATGTGTAACTATAAAAATATACCAATCAAATATATGTGTATATATATATATATATATATATCACTGTACAAGTACCATCATTACTGTAGACATAATCACTTAGGGCTTATTTTGTTTTCCTGGTAAATGGTATTAATTCACACACAATGTTTTTTTAGAAAATATGCTTGATTAAACATAGAAAAGAGATGAATTTGAAATATTATTTTTAAATAAAATTAATTCTAACAGAAAATTAGTGTGTATATATATATACACATACAAACATGCATACACACGCACACGTACGTGCCTTTTTTTTTTGTAACGCACACGTACGTGGCTTGTGTTGCATGCGTGGATCATTTACGGTGTTTCCATTTTTGTATTTTTACTAACAAATAGTTTATGTTTTGCACACGGTTAATGGTAGGAATAATTTATTTTTTTTAAATTTCTGAAAGTGAAGTAATTACCAGTGCAAGTGCTCTCTCAGATAAGGATCACTAGGACCAGGAACGTCTGGATCTGTCATCACCTGCCATATAATAATGTGATTCATCACAAATACATGTCATACATACATACATACATACATACATACATACATACATACATATATACATACATACATAAATATATATAATATGGTATAGATATTAAATGAATACATACCAGAGTGAAGAACGATCTCATGTCACCGCCATGGACATCAACCTTGGGCTTGATGGTGACGGCCGATGGAAAAAACTCATGGCCGTTGTAGACCTGCTTGTTGGAGTTATAGGTCACTGTCATCTTCACAGCTTGCGTGACATTATCGACCACGTCTCCGATAACTCTCCCGACGACAAGAGGGTCCGACGATATCCTTGCCATCGGTCGATATCTCAGACAGAGCAAAGAAAAAAGATTTGCCTGTAAGAAAGAATCTATCTACGGTTCGGAAACTATATGTATATGAGTGTGGTTGGTTTTGGTACAGACAAGCTTGAGCTTGCCCTAAGTAATGTTATTTTTGGGATATGTTCTTTTTCGTTGATGGTTCAATGAAAGTACAAAGTTAGATATTTATAGGGCTTAGAAGAAAGTGGCCAAACCCTCGCTTGATCTGACGTTTAGATCCAAGGACGAAGTGCCATCTTAGAGAATAAATAAAAATAAATTGTATATGTTTAAGCATCATAATAAATATAATATTCGTTCTAGTTGATGCCCCTCAAATAAGAATTGCAAAGCTACAACTTAAAAGAGAAAAGTATTTAGCAGTAAGTTATTATTTAGACAATGTTTTAAAAATATGATATAATTGTTATAAAATATCCAAGTTTAGTTAGCCTAATGGTAAGAGAACATGCAAAACATGTTTTTATTTTGGGTTCAAACCCAAACGTGGAGACGGGCATTAACTTGAAATTTTCCGATTTTCTGTGGGATGTAGTTGGACCAAAGGTCCGGTGAATTTCCGGATTATAAAAAATAAAACAAAAAATTATTATAAAATAACAATTACAAATAATTCCTATCATATACCATAGACCGGTAATGATTTAATTTATCCATCATATGTTTTCCTTCAAGATCGGTGATGGTGACAGACACCTGTGACGAAATTGTCTACTTCAAGGCTCCAAGCTGTGATGTATGTCGAAAATCCTTTGATATTTTTCAATTTATAAGTGATAGATATATATGTACATTATTGTTACACCCCAATTAATTTTTATTTTTCAACGATTTTTTCCTCACGGAAAAAATAATCATAACATGAAATTTGTTTATGGGCTGTCGAGGAGAAATGTATATGTAAGTGTAAAAACATGTTAGATGGACTTTTACAAGTTAATTAATTGATTAATTAGTTCATAATTAACGTTAAAATGGGGAGAATATCTTAGATGATATGTCAAATTCTATTTTTCTAGCCATTATTGAAACAGGAGTTTCGAGGGCATCAATGGTGCAATGGGGAATTTTACTTTTGCTCTTTCTTTGATTCCCATTTTTTTTTTCAGCATTAATTCGTTTGTTCTGTGCATTTTTTAAGTGGCCTATCATCTTTTTCTAAAACTATATATATGTAGATGTATTTTTTTTTTATAATTTTATCATCCCATATGCATAAATAATATAAATACAAAAACGTTTTCTGAAAAAAAAAAAGTAAAGACGATTTTTTTTTATTGAATGTACAAAAACGTTTTCCGATAGCACAAACATCTACTAACTATCTACCAATGATCAAAGAAACTCTTCCGACATTGCAAACAAATTTTTTTTAATGATATTTTGAAAAACGATTGAAATTTTAAAATATTTTATCTCGATCGAATCCATTACGTTTTATTGAATTGAAAATCATGTTTTGTTAGTTGTATCTTATTATTCTTATGCTAGACAAATTTACATAAACATCTACTTAAAAAAAAAAACTTATTGATATTTTCATGTTGTGTTGTAAGATTGGTCTAATATTATGCACCTTTTTCACCACTATAATATAAAGTGACATTCTAATCTATGCTAATTTAAAAATCAAAGGTCTACTCGAGTATATATATAAGTGGTTGATAAGTGGCAAATTCACGAACGTGGTCCTTCAAAAAAAAATTTATAACCTTTTGGACCCGATTAATTTATACATATAATACATATACACACAGAGAAATTGCATGTCATTATTCAATTAATCTTCAGATGAATTTGCAAAAGCGTAGAGAAACTTTTTCTTTCTTGGTAAATGTGAGTGTCCACCGTGGATGTACAGCTTTCGTTGGTTTATGTTTTCTCTTTTTTCCACCCTAAATTACAATATAAAATTAATTATATATAACTCATAATTTTTTTTTTTAAAAAAAAACTAGTGAACGATAGGCGATACAGACAGAATAATATATATGTTATAAATTGTAATATCGTTTAGAACCAACCTCAAATAGAAATTATAACATTTTTACGAATTCGGGCATTATTTAAAATTCTCATATTTTCTAATTCATTTTTTTTCCAATTAATATTATGTTAAGATACTCTCTAGAAGTCGCCTTTTTTTTTTCTTGGGTGGAATGTGAATTTAGCTCCAAATCACTTTCGCGTTAAGGGTAATATAAGAAAACAAAGCACCTCTTTAAAAGCATTAAATTTTATATATTAAGGGGGGAAAAGATAGAGAATTCTGTCCTAAACCAACCAATCTTGTTCTTTAGACTTTCCATTTTAGGAAATATTAATGTTAAGGCAAACGAAGCCACTCACAATGTGTCTCCCACGCATCTAAAGGCTGACAAACTCTGAGATGTCACTTCAGCTTAGAAAGAGATTCACTCCTCTCTGTCACCCTCTCTCTCTTTTTTTTTTGTTATTATATATTTTTTTTTCTTTAATAAAAGAATTCGAACTTACTTTGGTGTTTCCACTTATAGAAACCCATGATTCAACTGAGCCCGCGACTGCCACGTCCCAAGAGTTCTTTTGCATGTGACCGTGATGTTTATTTGAAGTAAAACATACTTATTTTATTCAATATATATATATACACACACACACACGTAAGTATCTATCGAATACTCTCTGTGTGTGTGTCCTATTGGATAAAATCATACATATTCCAGAATATAAATCTATTTAAATTAATCCAAATTTTAAAATAGACAAGTAGTCATATCTTGCAGTGCTGGATACAGATCGTACTTTCTTCAAAGAAAAAAAAAACCCATTAATAATAACACCATTATCTCAGTGATATGATGGTTCACATATTCTCCGTTTTGTAAAAAAAAAAACAAATATAATATCATCGAAATTTTGTTTTTTTTTTAAATATTTATTTCATGTATTGGCTTCCTTCTTCCATTTTCTGTCGGCTATTTATTTCATGTATACTTTAAATGTTTTTATCGTCTGTACGATGCAGGGTTTTGTGGGCGGAGAATCGAAAGCCAGATGGCTTAAATTTAATGGAATCTCATAGCTAGGTTTCTATTTGTCGTAGATAGATATATACAAAGTCGGGGTTTTCTTTTTTAAAATCTTTTGAGTTTTTTTCTTTACGTGCGTCAACTTGTCTAAATTTCGAAAAAGAGAAGACTTTTTTTAGGGTTTATTGCATACTTTTCTCAAAAATAAGTCTAAAACTTTTTTTTATACTGTTATGAAATGGTATCTTTTTTGGTTAAAATGGTAAATATATCTCGTGAGTGAATGGTTCGAATTACATAGTAGTGAAATATTTGCTTGGTTACGCCACTGTTTCCGTCCTTTTGTACGTCCTCGAAAACTATTATTATTATTATTATTATTATTATTATTATTATTATTATTATTATTATTATTATTATTGTTGTTGTTGTTGTTGTTGTTGTTATTATTAATAATATTATTATTGTTATTATTATTTATCGTATAAACATTATCCCCTAATATCTCTAGGACTAGAATAAATTAAATCTACTAATAATCCCTAAAACTTACCATAAAAAAATCCATTCCCCCCTAAAAATCTTATAAATATATTTTACACAAAAAAAAAGTAATTTGGAAAAGAATAAGAGCCTTATATGGGCCATACACAAACCATAATAAGGCCCAACTTCTTCTTTTCTTATTAACGGCCCAATAAAGAGGGTTGAATTTTTCAGCCATTGACCCATGTTACTATATTTGGGCTAACCCGACTTTCGGCCCAATTGAAGCCTTTCTTACATCTCTTTATTAATCAAAAAAAAAAAAAAAAGAACAATGCTCATTTCATTTTGTACTGAAAGAACCACACTGACTTTATGCTAATTTCTTATCCAAAGTATTTAAATGTTGCTCTAACTATAATGGACATTTTCATATATTATTTATTTAAAAAGTTTGAATTATTAGGCAATACATTATAGGATTAAATTTGCATACATTTTTCGATTGTAACTATTGATGGGCCAAAATATAAAGAAGCTCAAACACAGTCCAACTACAAACAGCTACCCTTGAGAGCAATGATTCAAATAAAAGCTTAGAAGCCCATGAAAAGGAAAATACAATATAAATACATGAAATATTTTTTTAAAAAAATGCAGAAAACTATATAAATTTTAAAAAAATAAAATTACGAGAACTGCTTTAAGTTATCCGATAAATACACAACTTAAAAAAAACTATCACAAACGCGATGACCGTTAATGAAGTAGATACAGATTCAATATGATAGTAATTTCCATTATTTTTTGAGTTATTTAATTCATTATTTCAAAAACAAAATAGTTTATATAATAGCCGGTTGGTTTAAATAGAAAATTATAATTAAATTAAAACAAAAACACTAGTGGTTTGACGACTAATTATAAAATATTTGTGAATAACAACAAAGTCAGAAAACAAAAACGGTTGACCTAATGACATGAATACGACTAAAATGTTTAGTTACAAAAATAATAGTATTTTATGATAAATTTATGTACAAAAACCGATTTTTATATTTTGGATATAACTTGTCATTAATTAAATATGTTATCTCGCTGCTTGTCCTATTGAGGAATCGGTTGAAATATAGCCATCGGTTTTGAACATTGCCTCAACAAATTTCTTGCTAAGCAACTTGTCCTTTCTTACACCTACACATTGTATTATAACATATATATATATATATATATCATTATTATATATAATATATTGAGATAATTTGGTTTAAACCGGTTGTATGCTATGATATATATTCGAAATTTATATTTATATAATCTAAAGCAATTAGGTTTTTTTTTTATTTAAATATTATATTGGTTTGGAGTCACCATTTTATCATTGGCCACGTCACCGAACGCAACAAAGGGAATTCTGTATACATGATTCGATCCTCTGCTTCACTTCTCCACGTATCAAGAAGAAAAACTAACAATTTATTAACCTTTCCCTCCTTTAGATTTTATCGAATTAAATAGTTAGTAGATAAAAAAAAAAAATCAGCTCCATTTGATTTATCTCCCATCCAAATTATTTTCAAAAATAGAATTCGAATAAATAAGATTAAATTTTGATTTTTTTTTTTTTTATAACGGAGGACCCTGCTATATGTAAACCTTCTGTCCGAAATCAGCCTTTGTATATAGATCATATACAATCAGAAATTACCTCATCTCCACCAGTCAGGAATCAAACACTCACATTCAAACTGGAATTACTTACCCCAAACTTGACCACTCGCCCACGACATGGTTGGTAATTTTGATCTATTTCATTATATATAGTTTTATTTTTCTTCCGAGGAGCAATTTTAAATGATTGTGAATTAAACAACCGATTGATATATTCTAGCAAATATAATAATTTCCTTCCATGGGCGCGTAAAATCGATTCCCATTTACATGATACCTTAATATTAAAACATAAAATTATAAAATAAAAACAGATGGAAACAAATCCTATTTTTTTCCCCCTCAGGAAGACCGCATGTACTGAAGAAATCCAGTGGCAGGGATGTAATTCAGAGCCCGAGACTGGTCATTTAGCTAAAACCCTTTTCTCTTGTTCGCTTCAGAAGTTGGAGAAGTGGTTCCGTGAGGACTGAACCATTTGCAAATCCGTCGTCGTTTGGCAGGAAGCTGCTTCATCACTTATCAACCCCCTGTTCCATTATTACATCTCCATTACATTATTATTTTTCATAACAATAATATACAAATCAATTAATATCATACCATACACCCCATATATATATATATATACAGTTCATCTTCCGGAAAAACTGTATGAACCTAATGAAAGTTAAAATAAGAATATATTTCAATAAATAAATATGAAAATTCAGGATTATATCATAAAAGCATATATATATAAAGTGGGAGGGATGAAACCTTACTCTCGGGGACGAGACAACCAAAGAGAGCTAAGGGCACGAAGACGGCCGTAATATTCTCCGATGATCAGAAAGCAACGGGCCGCTTGACGGACGGTCAGGATTCGCCGGAGCTGGTGTATCGTCTGTTGCCTCAAGTTATCTGCCTATATTTTATCATTATTAATTATTAATTACCCGTAACACAACTCGTTAATAAAAAAACATTATATAATACCAAATCAATCACAAAGTTTTCCATATGACAAGTCTATGATCGGTGCCTTTTTTTCCTTTTAAATATCCATACCTCCCAACATTTTAAAATAAAAAAAAGATAATTATACGATGATATTCTATAGTATGATGATGTTGCCCCCACAAAATGATTTGAATAAATTTTATATAAGAATTACATGGAAAACGAAAACAGTATAGTATAATATTCCTACACCTACCTCGATCCGAAGAGAATAATGGGTTTTAGTCAATAACGTGTACTTGATATATAATATATATATATACTTGTAAAATTAATTTCATTTTTTTTTGAATAATTGGATGTAGAAAATCGGTTGGTGAATATGAATTTGACGGCTTAATGTGGGGCCTAATTAAAGGAAATTATATAATTAATTGTAAAAAAAGAAAAGAAAAGGGAGAGAACCTGGCGGACGAAGCCCTCGAGGTTGGAGAGCTTGGCGATGGCGAGGGCCATCTGGTGGAAGTCGTCGAGGAGAGGGAGGGAGGAGATGTGGTCGATGAGGGAGTGCTGGAGCTGCTCGAGCCCCTGCGACAGCGCCTCCTCCGCCTGCTGCGACGAGTGCTGCAGGCTGTATATCCCCATCATCTGCTGCTCCGTCACCAGCTCCATCTGCCCCACCACCATCTTGATCAGGTCCGACGGCCGGAAGCCGGCGATCCAAATGAAGCAGCGCTCCGCGGGGGACATCCACGTCCCCGTCACCAGATGGAACACGTCCGACTTGGCCGCCGCCGCTTTCAGGCGGAACAGCTCGTCGAAGTGAGCGATGTACCCGTCCACTGTCACCCTCAGGTCGCTGTCCGACAGATGCGCCTGCACTCCCGTCCTTATCTCCGACATGTGCCTGTTCTCCTCCTCCAACCACCTCCCGTACTCCATGTCAAATATCGCCGCTCCTGCTTTTTTTTTATAATTGTTATTAATTGTGATAATTAAAATCATTAATTAATTTTCATAATGAAAATAATAAAAGATTTAATTTTTCGTAAATTGCTTTAATTATAATCGAACCGGGAGTGATGCCTGGGCCGGCAGGACCGCAGCCGCCACCCAATAACAGCCCCTATAAGCAGAATGGACATATATTAAAATAATTTACACTAAATAATAAACACCAATGTGTAATTTCGAAAATATGGAAAATCCAAAATTACTGCAATAAAAATAAAATAAAAAACCTGAGAACGAGCTCGTTGAAGTTCTTGCTCCAGCTGTGTTAGCTTGATCCTACTTGATTCTAGCTGTTGCACATAGGCCTGTCCAAATGCATACCATATATATATGTTTATATGTTTAAATAATAACGAAATTATAAAAAATATATATACACGTGACTTGCTAGATTCAGAAATTGCGTGTCTCGTATCTAAATTGAACTTCTCCGATTCATAAATAATTCAAATAAAATAACAAACATTTCTGGATTCTTTTGGAAAATTTTTCAATACGCTTGAAACGAGCAGACATATATTGATCGTGGCCACCAAAGCATGTTTTTTAGGTAAATTATTTTTTATATTTAATACGATTATGGATATGAAACTGACACATAAATCAAATTTGAAAATGAAAATATTAGAAAAGAAATATTACCTTTTTTCGGAGACGGCTTTTGCGAGCAGCTTCTCTATTTTGAGCCAAACGTCTCAATGTCTGTGCCGATTATATTTAAAAGCTTTGTTAGTCCCTCTAATCATTATTCAAATTAAAAGCTTAATTCAATAAAAAAAAGGAACCCGAAACTAAAATTATTTACTAAAACTAAAAAAAATAGATAATAAATGTAAGTGTACAATATAAATAAATAGCATTATATTTTTTAAAAGAAATATAGCTTCATAACCTTAGCATCAAGCTGCTTGCCTGAAGTTGTAGCCTTCCTCTGCAGCATTAGAAGAACAAAAGGAAAAAATAAATAAATCGAATGGAAAGTAAATATTAAAAAAAACATTAAATCCAAATTGAATACTTTTATAAAAAAAATTAAAACTAAAGTAATTGAAAAGAACCTAAACCGAAATTAAAAATAAAGACTAGACAAATGAATGATATTATCTAGAAAAAAAAAACACGTATAGTGATAATATTTAGGAGGATACTTTATAAAATAATTATTAGAAAAAAAAAGTAATAGCAAAAAATAAAAAAAGAAAAAAGAAAGGAGAGATGTTCAATGGTGGAAAGAGAAGCTATGGAGGGAGCAAAAACTGAGGTTAACTGATGTGAAGATTCTGCAATTTCGCCTTTTTAGTGTTTACATTTAAAGGCTCTTTTATGGAGTCTATTATATTTATTTATTTTCTTAAATCCATAGAATTCAGAGGTTAAAAATCAGAATTTCTGTGATCTGGTTCCTGTTGGGATCTGGGTATCTTTTGTTTTATTCGATGACTTGTCTTCTGATATATCAGACACGTATATACATACATATATATATATATGTGTATGTGTATATACATTCACACGCATCAATGTGCATGTATGGTTACAGAGATAGAAAACAGTCATGGAGACTAAAGTGATCAGGTTTTCCCCCTAGATTTGGCTCGTGGACAATATGTGTATATATAATTTTTCTATATTTCATATATATATATATATATGCATTTGCATGCACCACGCCCTTTGTATGTTTTATATCTTACGTAACATCAGATCACGTACCGTCATCTCCTATAGATAAAATTTAAATGATAGAAAACTAGAATAGACAGAATGTCCAAAAATAATTAATTAGTTGGGTTACTTTGGATCTCTTTGTTTATATACCATTGTTAAACATAATAATTTTTTCGTGTAATTTCAATTTTTTGTAGAAAATATCTGTCGTTAAAATCTAGCTTTTGTTCTGTATTTGGTGTCCATCCCGTGATGATGAATTATCGAAAAAATATTATGATATATACGACCAAATAATAAAATAACTTATATAACGTAATTTTCTCCCTCCCCCTAACACATATATATAAGCATCTCGTGCACTAAAACTCATCTTATATTATATCATACCATATTATATCTCGAGTTAATTTATGATTAGACGGAGAATATATACATACATATATATATATATGTATAAAGTAATTATTATTTTTTGGTAATGAAGTAATTAAAATTTTAAAAGAGAGAAGACAATAAGAACCTTATCATCGGCAGTTCTTGGAGGAGGAGCTGGAGTTTGAGAAGTAGAAGCAAGTCCAGTTCTTGAGGCATCGCTGACGTTCGTCGTGTTATTATTACTGTTGTTGAGCATGAGATTATTCCGGCGAAGTTCCGGCGAGATCCCATGAGACGGCTTCTTCGAACTCATCGGAGACTCCGTCTGCTGACTCCCGGAGAAATTCGCCGATCCTGAATCTGTGCTCTCTCCCCTCGACTTCGAATTTCCCTGTTACATCACATATACAATATTGAAAGAAAATGAATTATATATATATATATTTATGTATGTATGTATGTATGTATGTATGTAATAGGTTACTTTGTTGAATCCTAACACAGAATTCATAAAAATAGTGGTAATAAAATCAACAAGAAAATGGAAAAACTAGAGGAATATAAAGGGTATTCCATGTACAACCCAAATTATTATTATTTTCTTTCAAAAAAAAAACAAAAAAAAAACAGAGAGAGAAGGTTTGACCTTGAGTATATAATTTGGCAAATGGTCATGGGTTTAACTTTTTTTTTTATATTTAATAATAAAGAAAAGTCAGAACACAAGGTAATTAATATATCATTACTAATCGCTTTCAAGGGTTTTTTTTTCAGGGAAGAAGCAAATCAAATAGCAACTCGGACAAGAAAACTGAAACATATATAAAAAGAGTAAAAAAAAAACGAAGGAAAAATAAATAAGCAAAGGCATTGATTGTATAAGAAAAAAATTGAAATGATGATAAATAAATAAATAAAAAAAATAGCCAAAAAAAGGGAAGAAAACAAGAGGAAATGGTCAAAGAGGAAGAAAGGTACTCGAGGAGGAGTTTGGTGAGCTCTCATTGGCCACGAAGGGAACATCTCCAGAGTCGTAGCTGCTGCTCCTCTACCCGAATCCCCTCCTGCAAATAAAGCTGCCACAAACCCATCATTACTTACACTGTTACACACATACATACATTATATGTATGCATATACTGGATGTGCATGATGCATGTACTGTTTCATGTATGCATGCTCGCATCTATCATCATGATAAAGTCGAGAATTCTATGTATCTTCTCGAAAAACACACCATAGGGATTGTGTGTGCATTGTGCTATTTGGTTTTATGGATGTTTAAGTGCATGTGTATGCATATATATATATATATATACACCTCATAATGTGCATGTAAAAAAGGCAAAAGCAAGTGAAACAAAGCGAAAGGATAAAGGTGTATATGCATGTGTGTATGTATATAACCTAATCCATTTCTCTTTTTTTTTTTGGTTCCTTCTTTCTTTTTATCCTAAACCTTAAGGTAATATTGCCTAAAATACAAAAAAAAAAGATCTTATATGGAATTGCAAAATTTTACGAAAACACCATCCTTCCTATTCGCAAAATATTTTATCCATCTGTTCCCATTTTCCCAAAAGGCATTCATTTTCATCTATTGACATGCATGTATGAACATCTCTAACACATATATATATATACACACACGTGTACATATACGTATATACGTATATGTGATTGCAACGATTCTCTCGAGGAAGTTAGTGAAAAAGAAAAAAGAGAGAGAGGTTACTGAGAATATACAAGTCACGCCATCCGAGGCTCTTTGCCTCCGTATCATCACCCAGCACAAGATAGAAACCCCTATCTAGACTTGTTCAAACCCTCCATTTGTCTCTATTTTTTTTTATTTATATATAATATTTTCAAAAAGAAATTAATTGTTTTTAATTTTCTAGGAGTTTGTTAAGGTAAGCTCACGTCATAAAGAGATTAGAGGGAGAGAGGCTTACGTGGCTTGGCTTCGTCGTTCCTGAACTTAACACCTTGCAGAACAATTGCTTCTTCAAGCTCTCCAAAATCAAAAGTGGTAGATCCCTCTTGATTACTAAATAATTAAAAAAAAAAGCAAATCAGAAGAATCAAAACTTTAATTAGAACAAATAAAATATGAAAAATAACCTATAACGCATGTGCATAATCCATATGTAAGCATAAGATCATCCCCCATCTATATATATATATAAACATATCTAACTAAGCCTTGTTATATCCTTTGGTCTGAAACCTATAGATTCTCGTTGACTGTTCTTTTCTATCTCTTTACAAAGAAACCCCATATATTTATGTAACGAAAAGAGGCTTGATTTTTTGGAGTTGGAAGATTAAGTTAAAGAAAAATAAAGAAAATCGAAAACGAAAATTCAGCTTAAACTATAATTTCCCAAATAAAAGTGATGATTTTTATCTCTGTCCATGTATTATTACATATGCATATTTGTATGATATATATATATATATATACACCTGAATCCAGGAGGAGGATTGCTGAGGCCATGAAGAAGCGAGTATGGGAGTTGATGGTGGTTTGTGGCATCGCTGATCCTGTGATTCGCCATTAAAAAACACTTCAAAATCTCTTCTTTCCTCTTCACTTTCACTTCAATGTTCTTCTCACTTTCATCACTGTAAAAGAAAAAAAAATGTCTATGAAAAGATTCTAAGGGGAAAAAAAGGTAATTACTTTCCAGGTAAAGGAATATCATTTATCAAAAACAGGAATCTGGGTATAACCCGAGTTGTTAAATCTCTATTATCATTAAGAAAGTTGAATTGAAACTGGTTAAACTGATTTGATTTTGGGGAGAGAGAGAGATAGAGAGAGAGCACCGACGGCCAGTAATCACTTCATCAAATGTTTCGGATTTGAACAGAAGATGAAAAGATTATATACGGACATGAAAACTCAGGATATTTATGTGTGTGCGGTTGATTGATTACCTTTGATTTTGCGTCTCAGGATTTGGAGGAAAACCCAATACAAGGGGGGGGGGGGG